AATGTTGCGTCCGTTTGCACGCAGCCTAACAACTCCCAACAACACGCATCAACGCACATGCTACGTGTTACATCCAACAATGTTGGGAGTTGTTGGCCAACGTTGCGTTCGTTTGTACGGGGCTTTATCGCCCTATTTCGCAAGTCTAACTACCGGGCAAGACCTGGGGAGACTGGTGAGAGAGCGCGGAAATAAATCAATTAGTTATTTAAGATTCTCTCTCAAACAGCGTATTGCAGGCTCACATGAGGACACGGGCAGTTCACCGGATTTCAAAGGTTGACAAGCTAGGGCGTTAGATTTTTTTCCACTTCGCCGGCAATAACTGGACAGTTTATTTCAGTTCAGGCATAGTTTAAAGGTAAGAAAGTCATGTTTACATGCATATTTTACTACGTCGCCCTGACTACTGCCTCTGTTACACGAACATTGTTTCCAATGCGGTGCTTGTCTTTCTTTTTTTCCCCTCCTCACCAAAGCTGCTTTAAGGTTTCACGTGCAAATGAAGTCTCTGACGACCAAAAATCCGTATCCTCCTATTTTATTTCGAGAGCTGCAAATTTTGTTAGATCACAGCGATCAGTCCAGGACTGAAACAAAGCTTCCCCGATCCCTAGATCAACGATGACAACGATCGCCATCCGCAGATCTAGGCTATAAAAATAAAAGCAAAAAATTTTACCTTTCTGTTCTAGGTATGTTTTTCATACTAATAACATTTACCCTGGATTGGCAGAGCTTACTTCACTGACTCAAACAACATTTATTGGAGATGGCCGAGATAGGATTTTTGCAGTAAAAAAGGAGGCCCTTTCAATTCAAAAAAAAAAATAGAAGCAGGCAGGAAAAAGCATAATATTTTGAATCAGCAAAGAAAAACTACTTAATGAATAATTTAGTGGTCAAAACAAAGCAAGCAAAAAAAATTCCCTGCCGTATTTCGCCAATTTAAATTGCACGATAGTACATTGTTCATGCATACTTATGTATTATATTCTTCCCTAGTACTTTTTAAAGTTTTAAGAAAGACAATCTCAGCTAAGTTATGCGCGGGCAAATAGAAAGATGGGCGAGACTATTTCGTATTTTTACTGTTAGAAATACACTGAAGGGCAAAGTCCGGCTTTTCTTCTCGTGCTTTTTATGATAATGACTATTGCATACGGAAGAACGTGACCATTTTTGAAGTCGATGAATAATAGATTGACCAATGATACAGTCAAAATTAAATTGACAATCAACTCGTATTGACCTCCGTCGATTCTTAATTTTGGCATCTTGACACGCAATGGAAATAAAGCTGCAAACCAAATAATAAATTTATGCACCTCAAGCAAGGCTTTTTTTCCCGATGAACCTCTCCCCTGAAAGCCATGACTACTGGTAAAAATGGGCTGTTTTTGCGTTTTCATCAAATTGACAAAGGTGCTCAGGTAATGGCGAGTCACAGCTGAAAGCTTTTGAAATTATTGTTTTAGCTTTTTAATTAAGTGTGTAAGAGAGTGAAGGCGGGTAAATGAACTCTACTTTGACTTTTAACTTCGGCACTGAAACGCGATCACCTCTCACGTTATGGCCTTTAATTTTGATTCTTTTTTTATTTTTTCATGTCATTTTTTTTTTTTCACTCCCTCAACGAAAAAAATCAACGAGTGACTATTCCTAGTCAAGTTAGAAAACCGGAGTGTCAACTGCAAAAAACACGTATGCGTACCATGTAAGCGATACATAAAGAGCTAGATACTTTGCATGATCTTTGTAAAAGAAAATATTAAATATTTTAAAGGACAAAGGCTGCTGCAATATGGCAAGATAAGACTAAGATAGTCTGATGACCCACACTGTGTGCCAGTGTGAGATACACCTTGCACAGCATGGAACAAGAACAAAGTATAAGTAGCCAGTTTAAAATGCGAGATACTATTATAGCTTCAAACAGCTTCTCCTTTTTTCTTAAGCGAGGGCACTAGTAAAACGCCGCACTAAATTAATTGAGTTCGGCTCATGTGAAGTGTGGCGTTAAGGTTCGGCTGATTCACGGTATTTGAATAAACTGAGGCGTTTCTCAATGTTGCTGTTTTTGACGCATCTTGTTTCGTCTTGCACTTGCATCTTTCAGCCGCAAACGCGTACAAACTGCATACATGACGTACCAGTATTCAACTCGCAGCGCTCGTAATGGAATGGTTCAATAACTGTGGAGAGCTTGCTCACAAGCTAAGATTCGTGGGTGACACAATCTTACTTCCCTTTTTTTACTAATGCTTTGAATAATGATACTTTTATTTTTGCTTAAAACTTGATTTTTACTCATATCACTTAGACTGCGAGCAGTCTCTCTGAGTCTTCAGATATAGCGAGGAGAGTGCACGCGCGCGCGACGCCGCTCCTTCTTGAACGAGGGCCTCTCCCGTCTTAACCTGAGATCGCACCCTCAGTCACACGCGTTGTCATTTGCGTGGACTAAGAAAAAAGATAAGACTGCTCGTAGTCTACAAATCTCACTCAAATGGTTATGGAGATACAGTTTCAAACATCCTTTCAGTTTCTATGGGAGTGCACGTACTGAGAAAAGCACTCCATTGAAATTCCTTCCATTCAAAGTCATGGTTACTCTATCGTCGTGTGCATCTTTCCCGGCAAGAGAGTCTAATAGTGTTTTAAAAATATTCCATCATAATTAACAATCGTGGCTTGTTGCCCGAAGGACAGAACTACATCATGAACAGTCCCATCACCATACCGAAAATGTAGCCTTCAAAAAAATCACGCAGCTCTTAGATACTCTTGTTCTTTGGCCATTTTAGATTGAAAAGAAATAACAAGCAACATAAGGAACTAAAACACATTTCTTGAAAGGAATAAATCTTTGACTTAACGTTTCGTATGTCTCAACATACATCTTCAAAAGTAATTCCCTTCAGGGGCGTGGCCGAGAACTTTTCCAGAAGTACGCACGGTTGATCAACCTTTCTCCGTCATCTCTTTAATCGTTGTTACGTCGGTGACTTCATTAAAATTTTCTTGTTTTGTCAAAGCAGAGAATCAATCGGTCCGTGTTCTTCAGGCAGGAGCTACGGCTTTCGCGTTTGATAAATTCGGGAAAAAAACACCACCTTTTGTTTTGGAAAAATATTTGAGCTTAGTCAGAAAGAGGAGTTCATAGGCAATTTCTTCGTTTCAGAGCCATCCCTTATTCCCCTTCTTTAGTCCTTATGACATGTTTATTTTGCTTTTGCTTTTTATATTTCTTTTACATTTTTTAAGGTACGCGCGTGTGTATTGGCGCATTGATAGCTAACGCCCCTGACTGTTGAGTGACAACAGAAATTTATTGATGGAGTTTATGCTCACAAAAAAATTATAAAAATCGTATGAGCATACCCTAACAAACAAGCTGTTAAAAGAGCAGGTGCTAAGAGCCTACCCCTGTCAAACTTGGGTGGGTAAAGGTGCGGTTAGGTTGACCTGACTGAGCCCCACACCTTGTTAAACAGGTAACAATAACTAGTCATTACTTTACAAAGATTGACAAGGTGTTGTACTGGATCTCAAGCTTTTTCTTTTTATCGTACCTACGCCCCATCGAGATTAACGCATAGTCATGGCCCTTTCGTGATCAAATGCAGATGATTGTAATTCATTGAATTTTTTGCTATCTCTCTGGGCCATGGGTTAGATTAAAGACAAGGCTCAGTTCCGAGTTGACGATAAGAATCCACTTGAAATTAGAAAACTGCGCGGAGAACCAAACACTAAGCGAATATTTGAGACTCATTGAAAATGGGCTTACCTTGTTTTAATCGGATAATCTTGCTTTGACATTTCTAACTCTGGCACTCAAAATAGATCTTTACATTTTAATTTTACGGAACACTGTTCTCCATCAGCGTGAAAGCCGCATAAAAAGTAACCTCTTCCTAAAAAAGGAATAGCTGACTTTGACATATAATTTTCCCTTTTTTCATTCCTTTTTACTTTCAATTTTGCATAATACAGTATCATTTTAAATACTTTATACGTCTTTTTTGTTTCCTCTAAATAGGAAACCGAAAACACTGGTTTTTGGCAAATATTTTGGCAGGCGACTTTGTACTTAAGGCAGATAAACAGCTGAGAAATAACGTACAAAATAACATTGTCTCCTGAAAGCAAAAAAACTGTTTGTTATTAGTTTCTTGTAATGAATCCACTCCTTGATAAGTGATAACCCTCTATGTAGTGTATCAAAACAATCGTCTAGTCGGCATAAGTCTCATCACAAGCAAGAAATCTCCAGTTGGATTATTTCCAGCTTGTTTTAACAGTTAAAAGTTGCTTTAGTGATATGACGAAATCTCTGTGGCAAAAATTATTGGAAAATAAATTTGCGAAAATCTTTTCGACGGATTGTCGTCTAGAACGACTGGTAAAGAGTTTGTTGATTAAGTTTTTATGAAAATTTTTTTCTCGACTTCCTCTACAGTCCACTTCCGATCCTGAAAACCATATGTTTTCATCATCTCGTCTCCAGGTAGGTAGTTCACGTGTACTTCATGCGTGCTTTGTTTACATTTTATCATGTGGCTCAAAGGGCATCGTTTCAACCAATCACATTCAAGATATCATCCCTAGTAGATGAATATTTAACCTACAGGTTTTCCCGCGCTTCAAAGAGCCTTCCACTCGCAGTGTTTCTGTCGAAGGCTTTTGACGAATCTTGGGAGGAAAGCGCGCGAGTTCTCATATTTCCCTGGAAAGTAAGTGTGATAATTGATATTTTCGTTAAAATGGGAAATATGTATCTCGCCGCTTATTCTCAAATGCTAAAAGCTGAAGGAGGGTTTCTTTCAGTGCAGCATAGCTTTGTTTCAGTCTTTTGTTTGCGTGTCACACACGACACGTGGAAACCGCAAGTTAAAGAAGAAACTCTTTGACCGTCCTAACTAACGATTTCATTTTATCCACAGAAGAGGCATTCCGACGGCAAATTTTTGGCAGAAACCATTAATTAGCTTAAAATGGCCTCGAAGGAAGAAGAAGCCGCTGCTGTACAGCCATTGACCGCCGAAGAAAAAAATGGCGATGCCCCGCAAGTAGCCATTGAAGACAACAGAGTTGGTCTGAAGAAAGAAGTTTCTCTTATAAATGGCATCGCACTCGTGGTCGGAGTCATTATCGGCTCCGGTATTTTCATCTCTCCGACTGGCGTCCTTAAGCGTACCGGTTCAGTAGGAATGAGTTTGGTCATTTGGGCTGGTTGCGGTTTCCTCGCGCTTCTAGGATCCCTATGCTACTGTGAAATGGGTACGATGATACCAAAGTCCGGCGCTGAATATTCCTACCTCAAGAAAGCCTTCGGTCCTCTTCCAGCTTTCCTTTACAGCTGGACTCTAGCTTTGATCCTTCGCCCGGCTTCACTCAGCGCCGTTGCTCTTACTTTTGCACGCTATGTGAGTCAGCCTTTCTTCCCAGACTGCGAAATCAGCCCGATTCCAGTTAGAAAGATTTTGGCAGCGGCGTGCCTCGGTAAGTTTTAATAATTTTATCTTTCCCTTGGTGAAATCGTATGCTTCGGCTAATACTTTTTCACTAAATCGAGTGAATCGCATGGTCTGTTTACAAACCCAATCCCTTCAGGTTGTGGTTCGCGTTGAAAAGTCACGAGACAAAGTTGACATTTCTGCCCGGAGGCTTGGTTAGTATACATGTGCTCACGCAATGCAATAAAATCGTTTCGTTTTATTTTCCAAATTTTCTCACTTAGCTACCGCGTGTCTATGTCCATTTCGCGACAACTTTGTTTTTGTCCGGTATTGCATCAGAAAGCAGAAAAACGCGTGCTGAGTGCAATTTGCATACCACAGGTCACGGGACTTATTCAGATAGTTTTCAAGAAAATATACCGATATGGTCGTTATCTTCCCGGGAGGTAGTTCTAGAACTCTGGGTGGATTTAACTAATATAGTCTTGGAATTTGCCTTTTAATTCTTTTTATTGTTGAGTAGTGAATTAACAATAACAGAAAATTTCAATGGGAAAATGCAACGGCTGTTCACTTTAGTCGCAAAATGAATCCACCCTTTGTGTGGGCGATTATTCACGGCACGAAAGTTGAGGATGCCTAATAAGTGGAAAGATTTTTTAATTTTTGGCTGCAGTTAGTTTGTTTTTTGCATTTTTTTGGTAGTATGAGTATGTGCATGCTTAAAGGCGATGTAAACAGAAAAAAATTCCTCCCACAAAGCACTTCTTTTTTCCTCCCAGGGAAAAATTTTTACGCTGTGGCTATATGGCCGGTAACCGGTCAAGGTTTTCAAAACACTAAATGACCGGCAGTCCTGTCTTTTCAGTAAATTTCACAAATCGAACAAATCCAGCTAAACCAAACTATCATATGTCGATTAAGAAAAGTCAAGCGATCCTGAAATGCTTTATAGATCCCAAGAATAACATTACGTTGGCTCACGCTGGGCTCAGAAGAGAAAACCATGTTTTGTGACACTAAAAACTTTTTTCAGCTTGACTGCCGGTCAAGGTGTTGAAAACACTAAATGACCGGCAGTCCTATATTCTCCGTAAATTTCACAGATAGAAATAATCCAGCTAAACCAAACTATCAAGCGAAACAGTCAAGTGAAATGTACTGAGAATATGGGACGGCCGGTCATTTGGTGTTTTCAACACCTTGTCCGGCAGTCGAGCTGAAAGAAGTTCTAAGTGTCACAAAACATGGTTTCGTTTTCTGAGCCCAGCGTAAACCAAACACTAGACTGACTTTTCTTTATTAACATGTGACAGTTCAGATTAGCTAGGATTTTTCAATTTTGTGAAATTTACGGGGAACATAGGACTGCCGGTCATTTAGTGTTTTGAAAACCTTAACCGGCAGTCAAGCTAAAAAAAGTTATGTGTCACAAAAGGTGGTTTCAACCAAATTAATGCTACACTTGAGATCTATAAAGTATTTCATGATCGCTTCACTTTTCTTAATTGACATATGATAATTTAGATTAGCTGGGATTTTTCGATTTTGTGAAATTTATGGAGAATATAAGACTGCCGGTCATTTAGTGTTTTGAAAATCTTGACTGGTTACCGGCCATATAGCCTCGGTGAAATTTTTAGGGCAAATTGTGTATTACAAAGTCAGCTGTACGAACAAACTTTCACGAGGGGTACATGGAGGTTTACAGTATTGCAGTATTGTGATAATTTTGATTTTAATGTGCAGTATTGCACTATCATCTAGTCCAGCAGTATGGTTTTTTTCATCCTTTTGGCTAACGGTATTCACTAAAAGAAGATCACGGTATTGCAGTACCATTTATTTGCACTCTCCTGTCTAACCCCACAGGTCAATGCCATTTTCAACACACAACATAGTAAGCTATACAGGTTAATAAAAGTAGATATTTTAAAGACTTTAAACTTCATGGTGAATGATTACTCATTGTTTGATTGTTTATCTACAATGAATAGTTGGGGAGCCAGTGACGGGGCTTCTCGATTGTTGTACAATTGAGTTGATTGCTGATGCACACATGCTTGAGATAAAAAAACACGCGAGATGGATACAAATTTAAGTATGCGTGACCAATTGTACATGCGGTATCGGTATTTCAATGATTTTTGACACGGTATTTCGGTATTTGTCAATTTTTCCTTGCTGTATTGGGTACCTCCTAATACCCCCTCTTTTACCCATTTTTACCACCACTGTGAGATATTTTTTGAAAGTCATACGAGATTGTTAAGTGTTTGGCTTCCATTTTGGTTTTGAAAAATGTTGGGGAGTTAGCAAGTGAGAGTGTAGGTTGGGTGGGTGAAACGGTAACTTACCAGTAATAGAGGTAACAACAGTAGCAGAAACCTCATCAGGGATGGCTAAAAGGTGGCTGTGGCAGCTCAAAAGAGGTGGCTACTTTATAGTGCCTCTTCACTTACAGGCTTAATGACCAGGGGACACCAACGTAGCAGCCACTTCATTGTTTAGGACACCAATATGGAGAGCGTGACATCACGTGACATCACACTCTACACGGTTTGAGCTAGGATTTGATCACTGGGGGACATATTTGTCTCTTTGGCTAAATTTTTGGGGGACATTTTCATTTTTAGGGGGACAGAAATTTGATAGGTCTTGGACGAAAAAGTCAAATTTCGCAGGATTTTTAAGGGATAAATTCGCGGAAAAATCGGCCGATTTCGCGGGAGTTCTCGGGGCAAACTTCACCAAAAAGCAATCGATAAAAAACGGCGGATTTTGTAGTTATTTTCAAGGCAAATTTCTCTAGAAATCGATCGGTTTTGCGCTGATCAGACCAGCCTTTTTAACGTTTTTCTAACAGAGGTGATCATTTGCTCTTTCAACAACAATACGCTCCAGAAATGAACCAATGGCAAAGCCTTTAACATGATGGCTAGTGCCAACATAATCTGTTTGCACGTTTCAGTGACGAAGTTCCAAGATAAATTTGCAAGTTTACGGCAAGTAAATAGCCCCTATAGCTGAAGTAAGTTTCAAATATGTTGTACAGACATGTATTTGATAAGATTTCTACCGAATTTCGCGGCTCCGCGACCGCGCGAAAAATCAGAAGCCCTGTCTTAGATTTCCGAAAAAAGTAGCAGTAGAGCGTGACTGAAACATAACTTTGGAATGGACTTTAAAGGTGCGATAAAATATACTTTCCACGTTCTGTTTCAGCTTGCAACTTCTGTACCGAAATAAATCTCTTTGTGTGTGCTTCCTTTCGAGTTTTTTCCCTAAATTTTGAAGGGGACAAATTATCCCCTTGGCCATTTTTTAAAGGGACAATTCCAATTGCAGTGCGGGATTAGCGCAATGGCGCGGCCTGGCTCAAACCCTGACTCTATAATTGTAGAAAAGAATTGTAAATTAAACCTCTATTGTTGTAACTATTATTTTGGGACTTTGATTACTTGGTGCATAATAGAGGGTGACCACTGTATGTTAAAGCAAAAAGAAATGAACTTCCAATTTCATGAACTTACTCTTTTTTTCAGCACTGACCATGTTTATAAATTGTGGGAGTGTGAAATGGGCAACACGCATCCAGGACACCTTTACTTTTGGAAAACTGATTGCACTTGTAATCCTGATTGTGATAGGTCTGATTGAAGTTGGATCAGGTAAGCAGAAACAAGTACAACTTTGACACCTGAATAATAATAATAATAATAATATTATTGTGAAAGGTTTGAACCCAGGGCCCAGTTGTTCGAAGGCCGATTAGCCCTTAACCCAGGGTTAAATTTAACCCGGGTTTCTCTTTCTTGTGTTCAAAAGCATTTTCTCGGATAATTTTCTCTGTTATATTTAGAGCTTTCAATCATCAACTTGTAGACAAAAAGAATTAAAACTGAAATGCTTTTTAAGCTTTCAAATTTGAATTCAAATCTCGCACTAACCTTGGGTTATCTTAACCCAGCTTTGAACAACCCGGCCCAGGAGTCATTTCAAAAGGTTGAGTTTGATCGTCCGGGTGAACGTAGTCCTGAATAGGACTGTTGTTGTTGACAGTGACTGTCAACAACAACAGTCCTATTCAGGACTATGTTCACCCGGACGATCAAACTCAACCTTTTGAAATATTATTATTATTATTATTATTATTATTATTATTATTATTATTATTATTATTATTATTATTATTATTATTATTATTAGACAAACCGTAAACACCTGAAATATTTTGGGAATGTTTTTGTGTTGTGGCGAGTCACAAAAAAAAAATCAGGACATGGAAGCAAGCCACCAAAAACACATAACTAATAATTATTATTAATTACTGTTGTTGCTCACAGCTTAGTTTTCTTTGTATGATCTTAATATCTCTGCATAATGGAATTATTTATTTTATAGAATTTTGAACTTTTATTATTAAGTATATCTATTTCCTCTTCTTTTATGTAAGGTTAAGTTACTAATCTATTTTTAGAATTTGTAAATGAATAGTTTCTTTCTTCACTTATTATATATAGGATTGTTTTTGTTCTCTAATGAAGGCCGAGGGGTTTCTTTTGTAACGGATGGAATTGTAGATAGTGTTTTGATGAATTAATTAGATTTTTTGTAACAGCTGGTTGATTGTAAATAGGATTTTAATTGAGGTTTTGTAATAAAGATTTTAAAGTTTTCTTTTGCCTGATTGGCTCTTCCCTTGTGACACGATAACATTCCAGAAACATTTCTGGTGTTCTCAGTTTTTTGAGTTTCACAGTAATGACAGACAAAATGAAAAGATACATGTAAATAAAAATAATTGACATTGAAACCACTACAAGCAACAGAAATTAATGTGTTTCAGTGAGAGGTAGCAGCAACAAATAAGCATCTCTAAATTCATACTTATATGTACATCAGAATAGAAAATTAATACATTTTTGTTAATATATTAAGACATCTTCTATACCTTTCAGGTAATGTTCAGAATTTTAGCGGAGCATTTAAAGGTACTACATCAGACTTGGCAAATATTGGTTTGGCATTTTACTCTGGACTTTGGGCCTATGATGGATGGTATGTTGCCTTAGGCTGCCTTATACATCTTTTAAAAAAAGTGATGTGGTATTTATTCCACTACTTCAGACCCCCTATTTGAATTGTCTTCATTTAGAATGGTTATAGTACTAATTAAAGGCTGTATGTGCTTTATGAAAATTGTTGGAGAACCTGCAAAGTCTCTAAATCTATGTAAATCTCATGTTCACAATGTGCAGTGGAACCTCGATATCACGATCCTTATTATAAGGATGTTCCCGGTATAAGGGTGAATATTTCTATGTCCCAACAAAAGTTATTATCAGTATACAGTCATAATTTAAGCAAAACATTGAAGTTAAGACAATAACATTATAGTAATCGAGTGATCTTTAATGTTTCTGACAACTTACTTAGGCTGTACGTAAGTCTGATAACAGAAGCATTGAACAAAAACAACTTGAGAGGGACTGTAATAAGTATGTCATCCGCAAAAATGCATTACTTGCTGGCCAGTGTCTGGTTTCTTTTTTTGCACCCAAAAAAACAATCAGGCATGATAAAGCTCAACAATGTTAGCAAAACTGAGTGATAATTAAGAGTAAATGTGAAGAAGGTCATTGCAAGTAAAGATGCAACTTATGCAGTTGTGGTCCATATTTAAAGAAAGCCTGAAAAGATTCAGGCTTCCTGGTATTCAAACCCTTACCACTGTGATACTGGTGCAGTGCTGTATCCAATGAACTAACAAGTTAATTTGGAGCTTGGTGATTGGGTTGTAGTTTTGGGGTCTGCTTTTAATGTATCCTGATGTTTTGTTACAAGTCGTCACTACCAATCAATGTACAGGTCATCATGGCCTTCTTAATTAGTTTGACAGTAAAGTTAAATACCTGATAAACTGACTTTTTTCGACCTTCCTTTCCAGGAATAGCTTAAATTTTGTAACTGAAGAGATGAAAAATCCAGAAAGGTAAGGGTTAAAAATTTGATAATACAAAGTGCAGGGTTGTCATTAAGAGCCGGGGGCTGGGGATTTTCCCCGGCTACTAAGAGAGTGGCCCCCGGCTACTTTTATAGGAAAATGGAAGAAAAATAGAACCAAAAGAAATCCCTAGCCATTTGATTCCCCGCTTACTTGTTGTATTTACCCGGCAACTTGAAATCTTAGTGACAACCCTGAAAGTGATAAACTTGTAATTTATTACAATGATAATTTTTAAAAAAAGATATTAATGGATGTCAGGATTCAAAATATAATCCATAGGGCAGGGTGATTTTTGTAAGCTATTTTGGATCAGGCCATTTTTTTCCAGCTATGAGGAAAGGTCAAATAACTCTTAATTTAAGCGTTTTTTTGTAGTTTGCAAGATGGCACGTATGTTGTTAAATTTGTCTTTGTTATGTTGATCTATAAGTCAGCTTGTACACTTAAAATTCTTGTGTTTTTTTTAATGCTGCTGACTGCGCATCATTTCATCAACAAACAATCTTAGTCATATAAACATTTTCTCGGTACATTATTATACGATGTTAAAATTGTTGCCTTACATTACAAAAATTAACTTGTGGGGGCAACACAATTACTGGTAACCCAGTAGTTTAGATTGTGGCCCACAGATAAGGACAGATACAAATAATTATTAAAATAAACATATCAAGGTTAAGAATCCCAACTGCATGGTAGGAGACAAAGCATTGGGCTATTTACAAGGGTGGCTGATACCAAGCCACACATTTTTCACTTGCCACTCAGCAGCTGCTGGAAACTTGTTAGACTTTTGTTTTGAATGTTTCTCTATACTCTGTGTTGTTTGTAGCATGTTAATCTTGTCTTTTTTACTTTTCTCTTCATGTATTATCTTGATTCATGAGCTAGGGTCAGTGTGTTATTTTACAGACTAGTTGTTTTTAGGAACTCAAAATTTGGCAGTTTCCAGCATTAGTTTAAAAAAAACTCAAGCAAAAGGTTTGTTAAACAAATAAAATCACCTTTCTGTGTCTTAAAATTGCCAGCTGGACATCACTGGGAGCAAGCTGCTTTTTTAAACCTGGGTCTCACCTACTTACTAAGTTTCTAAACAAAGTTAAGGAATTGACAGTAATGTTTGTGTGTTTTCACATTGTATAGGGATCTTCCCCGAGCACTGTTGATTGGAATTCCTCTTGTTACGATTGTTTACATTCTGACCAACATCGCTTATATTGCTGTGATTGGAGGAGAAGGTATTTTGACCTCAGGGGCTGTTGCCATGGTAAGCTAACTTGGTTTATTTATTTATAAGCCTTCTATAGCCCTGATACCAGTATGTCCAGCCTTGTTTCCAGAGCAGCAAGTCCCCTACAAGTTCGCATTTGACATCACCCATGAAGCTTGTCGTGCGAATTCACCTGGGACTGTCGCAGACTAGCTAGTGCTGCCACACCAAGTTCATGGTCTTTCTTGTTCACCCTCATAGCACTAAGGACAAGGCTGGTGCAATATGCCCACAGTATTCAACTTATATTCTTATAGTACTGATGACAGGAAATAATATGTACTTTTGTTAAAAATCAAGCGTTTTTAAAACCTCTGGAGATCTTTTCCTGTCTTCTCACGATTTTAATGTTTGAGTTGTTGTTGTTGCCTGTATTTGCTAAAAAATGCCCTTAAGGCATTCTGGGGGGGGGTATCTTACCCCACTTAACATAACCAAAGGAATACTAGTACATTTAATACGTACTTGTAGTTGCTTCTAGAAATTGATAAAATTATTGTCTGGCACACTAAGACCATTTTAAAAAGCTATTTACTTACTATGTACATTTTTAAAATGAAAAAAATAAGTTAATTGTGACTGAACAAGGCATGAATTTGATTTCCAGTCGGTTGGGGAACTGAAACTTGGTCCAGTCAGCTGGTTGATACCCATCTTTGTTGCATGTTCCACTTTTGGCTGTGTAAATGGACTGGCCTTTAGTGGTGCCAGGTAAGTTAATCCTTACACTCAAGTCAAGAAATCCTAATACCAATATACAAAAGTGCTCTTTAAGAACATTTTCTTAGAATGTTCACACAGAAGAACTTGGTCCTCTAAGGCAAGGTTCAGACACTGCTTCACCTTAGCCGAATCGGATTTGAATTTAGGCCCAGCTGAATCTATTCTCGGCTGAGCCAGGCGTAAAGAATGGCTCAGCTGATCCAAGTTCAATTCGCCATTTCGAGCAGATCTAGATGCCGCACCTCACATTTACTTAATTCACTGAAGTATGGCTTCTGAACCGGGTTAACTCAAAAGTTAGAACTGTGCATCTTAAAATGCAATCCATCCATCTCTAACTGGAAAAAAAGGATAGATCAATGAATCAAAAAATGCTTGTTGAGAGTGATTGAATAACCCTGAATAATTATCCTTTCACTCATACTGATTGAGGCTTAGCACACGTTTTACAGAAAAGGTTGGACATTCTGATGTTTACGTCTGCTTTTCAAAGGGTGTACCCTTATTGTAGGCTACACTTAATACAAGTTTCACAGTAGCAACAATCTTTTACTTATTTCTTCTAAAGTTGGGAAGTCAGTGCTTGCCAAGCTTGTGTCTCACAGTCCTGGAAATTTTTTTGACAGGTTGGTTTACGTAGCGGCTCATAATGGCCACATGCCAAAAGTCCTGGCCATGGTTCACAATACTCGCAATACTCCTATGCCTTCAATCATCTTCTTGGTAAGGGACTCGGGGGTTTTTTTAGACTAAAGTGGAATTTATTCTAAAGGGAGCAGAGAACTTTTGATAACTGAGTTACCCGGGGTACAGCCTACTGGTTCTTTTCTAACCCTGTTTAATTTGAGCCCTTTGCATTCAATGTTAACGAAAAAAAACAAAAGAAATTAACGTTTAAGTGTCTTTGTATTTGATAAAGACATGGCTTAACTTTATGTCCAATATGTTTTAGACCAAAATAACCCCAAATCTAAATATTAATGCAAGAATGAGTTGAGCTATATATATCAGAGATTTTGAAGCTGTTCAAAATACTCACAGTCATGTAGATTATCAGATGTAAAAACTCTCGGCTTCATCTCAAGTTTTTAAACCTGATAATACACTCCTGCTCGGTTCTTAAACAGTACTTAACCACACACTCTGTTTTTCAAAGTCAAATTCTATTGTAACTTGTATTTCTTGTTATATTACAGCACGTCATTGCCATGATCATGTTGATTCCAGACTCCAGTAAATTCAGTACGCTTGTGAACTACTTCAGTTTTGCGGCATGGCTCTCATACTGTGCAGTCTTTGCAGCACTGCTGTACCTGAGATGGAGAGAACCTAATGCAAACAGACCATACAGGGTAAATAGATCATGGGTTTTTTTTTTCATGTTAATTGGAATAATAATAATATTTACTTAGCCTAACAGGCAGTGTTGGTGATTTCAAGAGTGATCTACACCTGTTTGACCATGCAGAAATTTCGTCCCAAATAATTTATGTTTTCTTATGCTTTCATAATTCAAAAAAAATACTTCTGCATTACTTTTGAAAAGTACCATGAATTTCTCAGAATTTTTATCAAAAGGAATGATTTGTGATTTTTTTTTTTTTTACTTTGGCTTAAAAGATTTAAGAATTTAAAGATTTAAGAAAGCCATTCTTCTTACATGTAGCTGTGGGGCTGTGCTTGCATTTGTCTCCTACACAAGGGCTCTTTGAAAACGGCAAAGAGTGTTGTGCCTCTCTAATGTCATTGTTATTCTGCTGCAGGTTTGGTTGATTGTGCCCATAATTATGGTGCTAGCATCTCTGTATCTCCTGATCACTCCTTTTGCTGGTGAGCCTGTGGAGTCCACAATGGCCCTCATCTTCATAGCTGCTGGTATCCCTGTATGGATAATTTTCTGTTGGTGGGACAAGACAAAACATGCCTGTGATGACTTTTGTGGTAAGCAATCTTACTTTGCAAATGCCTACAACCCTTGTCGAAACATCTTGGGACACTTGAGGAAATTAGGCCCTGAAGGTGCACTTTGCTAAATTAACTTGTATTCTACCTGTTAAAAAAGTTTGGAAATGTTGTTTAATGTTATAAGAGTCTATTTATACCATCCCCCTCTCCCCCAAGCAATGTTGATTGTGTTGAAGCAAGACTTGAATGCATAACATCAACACTGCACCAAGGTGACAGGGGAGAGAAAATGTGTCATTTTGATGAGCTATTGCATTAATTAGGGTCCCAACAGTTTTGACCAGGGTTGTAGTTACTACAAAAAGTATAATATGTTGTCAATATCCATTTCTTACTTGTTGGTTGAAATTGCAAATTTTAATCACTTGTTTCTTGTTCTTTTATTAATATTTGCAGTTAGTTTCACCTACAACGCGCAGAAGCTGTTCAATCTATCATTACCTGACCGCTCTGAAGATGACAAGGCCCATTCCATCTCTGAAGACTAGGAGGCTATCTTGTTAGACATACATGTAATCTTTAAGATATGACAGCCAACTTAACTTTAAACTTCTTTCTATTTAGATACAGCAAGAGCCACAAGGGCACAGGTCCCATCATGGCTCTTGGATACAGGTATACTCTGCTTTTTCAGTTGGACAAAATTAAAGGGGCAAAGTCGCACAATAAGGTACATGTTATTGTAGTTTTTTTGCATGCAAATTAAACTAGTCATTACAAATAATTAAATTGATTGGAACCCTGGTGAGATACACAGAATCACCCAAAATACATTTTACCTTGACATACATGTAGCCCCTTTAGTTATGTAGGGAAAAAACAGAAAGGCAGAGAGTGAAGACTAAATAATACAATATTATGCATATACTGTAAATCCTCTATTAGCCGTCCAAGGGGTTATTTATTTCAAGCCCATTTGAGAGGAGGCTAATATAGACGGGGGGTTATTTAATGTAGAAATGTTGATGGTATCAGTTCTCCATAGAGAACTAGAATACAAAGTGGAAAGGCTCAAGCGCAAGAAGTGTTAGGTCATGCAGCCGAGGATCAGAATCAAATCCGAACTTCCAGTTGGTAAATAAACTATTGCGGACCAGTCTACACAAAGTTTTACAGTTGTGATTGGTTAATGCAGTCTATCATTTATTAGTTAAGAGTAATTAGGGGTGGGGAGGAGGGCTTAACAGAGAGGGAGGGGCTTATTTGAGAGGGGGCGGGACTTAATAGAGGATTTACGGTACTCATAAGCTGACCTGACATGATGCTTATGAAGGTTTACTCAAAGTATGTTATCTGTGGCGTGCTACAAGGATATTAAATTGAGACCATGTGCCCAGTGTACTGGATAGCTCTTGCAGTAGCACAAAAACCCTACCAGATAGGGCTTCTATTCCCGATTTCCGTAATAGAGCAAAGCTGTGCCGTGCCACACCGCCGCACGCCAATTTCGAATGGGTAATGTGATATATCGGGTACGTTCTGTGCCACATTCTAGTGCACTGTGAACAGGTATTTGAACCATACGGATAGGGAAAGTGAATGAGTGGGAGCAGGGATTGGAACCCCCAGAGGTGGAAGAAAATATTCAGGAGAGAGGATTGGAATTTAGTGTACCAAATCCTCTCAGCCAACTGCTCCAGCATAATGTTCCCAGGCCATTGCTGTTCATACCATGCTGGATAGCTTTCCATGTCAACACAAGAAGCTATCTAGTATATTATAATTATGATGATTAACGTTTCAGTCTACTTAAATCATATAATTATTGAAACACAGAAACACACATTCCACAAATCACAAACCAGACCTTTTCCAGTTTTGTTTCCTTAAAAGCAGCAAAAAAAAACTTTTTGAACTTCAGAATTCACATGTTTGTGAAAAGCGCAGTAAAGAAAACGCTAAGTAACTTAATGATAAACTGAGAAACTTTTCCTCTAAATTCCATTGGATTTTTTTATGCAACAAAAGGAGAATTTGACTTTTCATCAAGAGTGCTAATGGCATAATTCTACCCACTTCCCTGAACGTCCAAATGCGAGAATTAAGAAAATAAATGACTTCTCACTCTAACCAGCTGGCCAAAGAACTTGCTAGTTACCTTATATTTTTATCATTATATTGCCGTGTTAGTTCATATTTATTTTTAATTTAACAAATTATTATAAATATTGTTATTTAACTTGTAAGTAGCATTAAGAAAGTGTTTTGAGTAATGTGGATGTCGGTACACAAACATTTTGCATTCATTTTTATTCAATTTGAACATTGAATATCATACTGCCTCTGCCAAGCAATGAAAGAATTGTCACTGTATTCTCTTAGTGCAAAAGTCCTCACATCAGTGGTGTTTGTGAATGTAGATGACTATGTTGGGAAATGCTCTCATTATCACCTATTTGTAAACAACATGCAACTGGGTCCTGAAACCTAAGTTGCTCATTTAACCGATTTTACACAAGTGATAAATATAAATTTGGTGGAATGATGATTTTCACATACCTAGGGCCTGTTAACATGGAGGTGGGAGACCCCAGGTAGGTGATGTAACCCGCTTTGGTGGGTAAATCTGCCTGTCCATATAATCTCTCATATGGTCACCCCACCTATCACATAAATGTGATCAAATTAAAATGAGAGATTATATGGACAGGGGGGTTACCTCACCTACCTGGGGTTCCCCACCTCCATATAAACAAGTCCTTAAACAGTTACAGTAGCTTTGAAAAGGGAATATAAATTACAGTCAATAACGCCTGCCATTGTTTTATTGTACTTATGGCACGACAGTTGTTGTCAGTGGTTGTTGTGATTGCCCTTGACATTTTAATTTTTTAAGATGGAATCCATCAGGAAATTGAGTAATTTCAATTTTCTGTGGACAAAAACCTTGTACCAGAATAATTTAAACAATATCGCATTGTTTTTTACCTTTTTCAATGGCTAAAAATGTAATTAGTCATCTGTAGTAACACCAAAGAAAACTTCTTATGGGAGCCCATGAAAACAAATGTCAAATTTCAGAACATTTTATCTTAAACATAAAATTTTCAGAATTTTACCTGTGTTTTTACAATTCTTATGAAATTTGACATTCATTTTCTGGGACTCCCATGAGGAATTTTCTTTGGTGTTATTGTAGATGACTAATTACATCATAAGGGCTTAAAAACTGTAAAAAATATATAATTATATTCTTTATATCATTCTGGTACAAGGTTTTTGTCCTTTGAGAATTAAGATTACTCATTTTCCTGGTGGATTCCGTCTTAATAGTATTTAAAGAAACGTTTGTAGTTTAAACTGTATTTTGCTGTTATAGTAATTTAGTTCTTTAATTTAGAGTGATTTTACTTGAACCGTAAAACAAATATTAACAAATAGTGAAAATGGCAAGAGGTAACAAAAGAAGACGATGGAATTGGTGCATAATAGTGTTTGGTATTCTACTACCTATTTCACGGGTCAAGTAAGATCACTCCAGCTCAGAAATCAGAAATGAAATATGTAGAAAGAAGCACTAGTTTTAATGTATTTTAGTTAGCAAGTTGATGTAAAGATTAGCATAGTAATGCTTGTAAAAGGGACAGATATAGTTGTCTATGAACTTAAAGGAACTAGGGGTGTAGTTTTTAATCAAGCGATTTCTGGGTGATAAAAACGTAGTTAAATAGTTGTTCTTATTTAGCAGTAACCTTACTTAGAAGTAATCTAAAGCTGTTTCAACCATTGGGTGAGGAATACGGAAGGATTTTGCAACACTTCAGTGATAAATGAAGAAGACTCACCTTAGCCTGTGTGGCAGGCCCAAAAAGGGGAGGGGAGGGGTGAGGGAGAAAAGCGCGAACCCTAACCCAATCCTCCTCCCTTTTTCTCTCCCTGCCTATCCCCTACCCCTTTTCGACGCCTGCTACGCAGGCTAACTCACCCCGTCTGGTGGTTCGTTTCTGAAAACTCTTTTCAAGTTTTCAGGCCCATGTTACGAATGAAAGTGCTCACTCTAGCCTCTAGCTTTGTTTCGTTAGCGTAGAGGTTTCATTGCATTGCTTTCAAACGCTGAAGCATCAGTGTGAGTATTGCAGACCTGATATAGCTAACTGGGCCTGAAGAGGTATAGCCTTCCACGCACGCAGAGGTTCTTAGGGGCTCGACACGCGTTTCTGCCCGGGCAAAAACGCGTGAGGAACCCCTATTGAAACTGTCGAGAAATGGGCCCCCAGATTGGAAAGTATGCGATGTAAAATGTATCTAAATTGCATTAAGCTTGAGTCGCATCTACTAACATTAATGAAAGATGTATCCTACGCTATTATAATATATAAACTCTTAAACCCCAATAAAATACAAGGTGAGCTTTCGCGAAAAAAAAAAAATCTCGTCACACGTGACTTTAACATGTTATATTTCACACTGGTAAATAGTTATGTTGCAGGAGATGCATGGAAAGACTATCAATGTAGTCGCAACACTTACTTTGATAAGTTAAAGGAAATAGTTCAAAATATTTCTCCGTTTCTGATTGGCCTAAACCCCTTGCTAATTACCAGGCAGTTAACAGATTGTAGAGTTAGTTTTCAATATATTTTTGTTAGTACCTTTGTTGGGTTCAGCCTTGCGTTATTTGACAACAACGTGCTGTAAGGTGAGTGATTAGCCGTGGGCATGGAATTGGGAAGTTTGAAAAAATGTCAAATTCACACCCCATGCGCTGCCTCCTCCCTCCCCCCCTTCTCCCCACCGGCGTTACACTGATTGATCCCTGGTTGCTTAAGTTAAATATGGTTCTCAGTTACCCCTGATCCACCAGCTTCCCACGCAGACGTTCTCAGGGGTTCGTTACGCGTGGGGCAGGAACGCGTGAGGAACCCCTAAGAACGTCTGCGTGGGAGGCTACTGATCCACTTGATCTTAGTGATACAGCAGCCTTACCACGCGGGTATATTCCATCCAATGTGACCAGTCTGAATGATGAAATCGATCGACAACTTCTAAGTGTGCACGTCAAGAAGTTGGTCGATTCTGGTATGTTAACCTCTTCCAACGCCAACGAAATGCAGGAGGTGTGCGAGAAGTTGATGATTGATGAAATCACTCTCAAAAGTTTTGTTCAACATCGTGAGTTTCTTGCATTGAAAGCTCAAAAAAGGGAAGCTGAACGCAATACTCTTCCAGACATTAACTGGAAAGAAGAAAATGAAGTCAAATCCCTCACAGCAAGACAAATTAAGATCTGCCTTAAGCAGAACAATCTTCATGTATCTGGAAGTAAAGCTGCGCTGGTAGCACATTCTCTTGATTTCTCTCATACTGGAACACGAAACAACGAAAGAAATAGTGCCAATGACAGTGACACATAACTCCTATCCAATGATTCCGAATACGACTCTGATTCTCACACAAGTACTTCCGAAAAAAACTCTGATTTGGATTCAGATGACTCCGAAACGGATGGCTTTGTTGAACATTCATATGAGGCACTATTTGTTCCAGACGATGACATCCAACGAGTAAGCGTACGCTTACAGTAGCATGACAATATAAAAGGTATTTACTTAAAGGCATCTATGGTAATGGTGGCGGTAAGGGGTGTGTGTGTGTGGGGGTGGGTGAGTGGTGGGAGGGGGGTGCGACGTTATTTTTAACATAACAGAGGGGGGTTAGAAATAATTTTTTTGTTTTGGAGGTGGGGAACTGTCTAAGCCCCCTCCCTCCTGATAATTATTGCACAGTCCCTTATGTCATATTCTACTTTTTTTTAACACTTTGCGAGTGGTTATTCCTAGAAAGAAAATCGTTTAGAATTAGGCCAAGACATTACAATCTTTTGTAATGTTCCACCATTCATATGCAATGAAATATTCCCTAGTAATGGAGCGATTCTCTGCCGTTAACATATTTATCATACTTGAATTTAATGTCAGTTTATCACAGCAGAGCGAAGAAAATATTCTTTTAAGCTCATTGCTCATGTCAGTCTGAAGAACCTCCAAATTCACGGCTGAGAACGTTCAATTTGTATCGTGGGCAAATGAACCTCCTGCACCGTAATCTGAACATATTATAACGTCGTAGTTATTTAGGGCATGGCAGTGAAGGACCATCAGGTAGGGAGAGCCGTGTATAGACTACGAGCAGTCCCATTCTTCATCAGTGATAGTAGAGCGAGCGAAATGCGAGCGCACATGAAAAATCACCCCACGCGAGAAAGGGGAGACGCGGCGGTGAGTGAGTGTTTTTCTCTCTCCTCACCGCGTCTCGCCTTTTTCGCGTGGGGTGATTTTGACGCGCGCTCGCGTTTCGCTCCCGCTACTATCCCTGAGGAAAAATGGGGACTACTCGTAGTCTAAGCCGTGTAGGGCTATGTGAGGCTATGAAGGGCAGTATAGGGTTGTGTGGGTAGCGTACAGGCTATGTAGAATTATGCAGGTCAGTGCAGTACAGTCAGTGTAACGCTACGTAGGGTTGTGTGGGCAGTGTAAAGCTATGTAGAGCTATGCAGGTCAGTGCAGTACAGTCAGTGTAAGGCTATGTGGGGTTATGTGGGCAGTGTAAAGCTATGTAGAGCTATGCAGGTCAGTGTAGTACAGTCAGTGTAAGGCTATGTAGGGTTATGTGGGCAGTGTAAAGCTATGTAGAGCTATGCAGGTCAGTGCAGGTACGGCTATGGAGACCTCCTGCGGCCTCAAATATAGGATTTTTGTAGTGCACAAACACAACTAAAGATTTAGGAATGCGTTTTATCTAAACATGCGTGGCCAGGTTTATTGCCGTCGATAAAACATCCAACCCAAAGTACTAGAACAAGCCTGTGATACGTTTCTTTTTTTTTTTTCGGATACATAGGTAAAATTATTTAATTGTTCAAGATAGCTCGTGCGTGGAACCTTCTCCTAAAACATCGATCTCTGCTTTCGATTTGAGAGAATTGCAGTCAAGTGTTTGTTACGGTATAGAGCCAGACAAGGAAACATTGTCCGAGAGAGGCTGTGAGCGTTGGTCCATCTGTGTGGCTACTTGCTTTGCCATCAAGAATTTACAAAGTGGTATGAGGAGGCGAAGCCCGTGGTTTAGCGAGAACGACCAGTGGGCATCCTCTTCTAAAGACAGTGCAAAATACACAGGATGAGTTAATCAGAAAATTAGGTAGAAAGTTGTTCGTTTTGTTATGTTTCTAAACTAAACCTTCCGACAAATTTTTTTAGTCACAAATTAAAACATACGTTTTTTCCCGCTAGCCTGACTAAAATGCTAACTGCCGCAAAATGAATGAACGTTTACCCCCTCGCCTCCCTTGCTTTGATGTTGTTTTGGTAAGCTTTGTTTTACATGCTGGATTTTAGACCAAAAGGACATTGAATAGGGGTTGAGGGAGGGGTTTATTTGTTCTCTTTAGAGGAGACGCTAGTATGGCGCGAAATTCGAAAATACAGTCGACTCCCGATCGATAATTCGAACCTTCAAGGGAAAAAGAAGATAGTTCGAGTTATCGGGAGTTCGAGTTATCAAGGGTAAAATTATATAGAAAACGATCTGAAGGGAAATGTAAATTGCTTCGAGTTAGCGGGAGGTTCGAGTTGCAGAGGGCTCGAGTTACCGAGATTCTACTGTAGGTGTAGCCTGTGTACCAGGTGCTTGTTAGTAGTGGGTACCGTTCTCTCTTTCGCCCACTACTAGGGAGCTTTAGCAACGACGACGGCGACGGCAACGAGGACGTCAAAAAAGCAATAGGTTTATCACGCAAAACAACAACTTTGCACGTGCATCACGCTTTTTTGTACATTTCTTTACCGTCCTTGCACGACTACGACGTGAAAATGCCTAATTGCATATTTCATGGAGGACGTAAACAAGCGACGACGAATCTCTTTTTCTCTCCCTAAACTTGAGTGCGGTCCTCAAGAAATCAACTCCAGGGAAATTCGCTTACACTTGCCATTTTCAGCAAAGTGGAATAAACGCGACAAAAATTTAAAAAACGGGAATTCGTTTTAAAAGTGACGTTTTCGCTGCCGTTGCCGTCGTCGATGCTAAAGCTCCCTACTTCCAAGCGCAGGCTACTGTAGGTGGATTTTTCCAAAGAGAATGTTTCGCGATTTTACTATTAACTCCCTCCCCCAAACTACAACCTCCCCCTTGCCTAAATAAAAACACGGAGAGGAAATTTTGTTTTTGAGGCTAAGGCTAAGGATGAGCTACACAGTGCCTGTGAATCTTCTACCATTGTTGAAAAGTATGCGTTCAAAAATTTGAAGGAAAACGTCGAGGTCAAATTATTGATCGCTAGGTTCAAACATTTGACCAGCGTAGTGTGAATATCTTTGAATATCCAAATTTTTGCAGTGCATGCGTGGTTGCATGGACGCGTAGTGAATCAATATGGATCTGCCCATGAGAAGATGGAAAGACAACTTTTAAAAAAGGAAATTGATATTTAACCTGCATCATCAGTTCTGTGTGAACAGAGCAAATATTTTGACCGATTCCGTGTAAACGAAATGCCCCGTCAAAATGATCAGCCGTCTGGTCCTGGTTTGGTGCAGTGTGAACAATTGCTTACCATTTGTTACGTAGACTTTCCGATAAGGTATTCCATCAATCGCCGACATGATTCGTTTTACTGAGTTGGCCCGTTTGTCTGTGCTGGGAGGCTGAACTTCTTCCTCCAGTTTCGAAGTGCGCTCGGCCGAGAACCTAAGGCAGTATCAAAATGTACGGGAGATGAGATTTGAAATACACGCGAAGGCCTATAGACCTCTTTAGCTTGTATGTTTTGTTTCCTCAATGAAGGTCTGAGGGCAATTTGACCCGTTATGTTTTCATAAATCATGCGCACATATGCACGGGAATAAGATGAAATTTGAATGAAACAGTACTCAAAGCTAAGTTTACATGATACTGGTCGAAAATTCGTACGTTTAGGTGTTCCCCTGGATCAATTTTGGTCTTTGGGGAAACTGCCCACCTATCCCTCCCTTAGTCAACATTAATACTTACTTCTCACTAGGGCAAAATGTTGGGTTAGGGGAGGGGTAGGTGGGCAGTTTTCCAGAAACCTAAAAGTTGATCCGTTCCTTTCACACGGAACCACGGAATCGAAAACTTGAGGTCAAAGTTTTGACGGGTGCGGTGGAAAATTGGAACGGCAAGGTGTGAACACCGTAACCGGCTAAATGTTTGTACGGCAAAGGCGTGGTTGCATGGATGCGTGGTTACTCAGCTGGGATTTGCTGAAGTAGCGCATTGCGCATAGGCAGATGGTAAAACCTTTGACAAAAGCTGAAATAAATTCAACCTGATTCGAAAGTTTCGTGTGAACTGCGCAAAAATTTTTCAACCGTCGAAAATTCGACCGGTACCGTCTGAACGTAGCCCTAAAGTAGAATCACATGACCTATATTGGGAAAAAATAACATTTCAAAAAATGGGGAGGGGGATTTTCAGTCCGTTGAAGTAAATTCACCTGAATTGATGACTTTCTGAAAGATTGGAGCACGCATGTGCGTAATGACTGAACATTGTGGCTTTCTCGATAAATTAACAACGGAAGAACTCATTAAACTAAACTGCGTTTAATAATAAGAGGAAATACACCAAAACCGGTAAACATGGTCCGACTGTTCTCTTGCCAGCAGAAATTTTGATGGTAGACTGGACCGGAAGTAAAAATGAAAATAAACTGATTTACAATGATATCAGTATAATCATGACACATTACATTTAAATGTGCCCGGCTATGCTCTATCCTCCGCCTCACCCAGATAAAAAAGGGTGCTTTTTAGCCTAGAACGGGATAAAAGCTGAGACGACAGTGACAAAATATAGATATTGCATCTTCGAGAGAAAATAAGATCCTCGTTTGGTTTCCACGCCTGTTTATGAGGACGTAGGTGATTTGGAAACTTGTCTTTCTATAAAAGAAACCTGTAAACCAAACAAGGAGGCGTGCAAATTACGCGTAAGAGTAATTAACAAAAAGCAGAGAAATTATATTTGCAATCCTTCAAGAATCAAAGTAAAAGAACCGCACTTCATCCTTTGGAACAATACGTCTTGGCTTGTTCTGGTAAGTACATGAATGAATACGATGGCTTTCAGAAAATAACCACTGAGAGACGTTTTTGAAAATTGTATTAGCTATCAGTGATCTCCAAAAAAATTCACCTCCTATACCTGAGTCTTTTGTACCTACAACATCATTAAACGTGTAAACAAAGACTTACTTTTTCCACAAATACATAAGGACAGTGAAGACGGACAGGGCAGCCTCATGAAACAGTCCTCTTTCGACTATTCCATTCTGTACCAATCCAATTATATTATCTGCTAGATCATTAGGGATGTTTATCTAAAGAAAATGAAAATCAAGTCAATCTCCCAAGGCAATAAACGTTATTGAGATAATTTTTGCGTTACGTTTTGAATTGATTGCAAAACATATTTTAAATATGGTTTAAACAAACACGGCAGCTATACAAATGACGTATACCTCAAGAGTCACATTTTACCCAGTGCTAGCTACGGTCCTGTCCTATCTATTTTGCAAAAAAATGCAAATGTGATTGAGTGGAGTACTAACAACAAGACGCTATGGGAGTATACACTTGGAAGCAAAGATGAGTCCATCCTCGTTGATTTTAGCCTGCGAGAAGGCTCACGTGTGCCAGTTGTCCTAAGTCCCTTGCATCGAAACATGGTTGAGTTTAATCCGGGCTTAAGCCAATTTTTGTGCGGAGTTCTTGACTAGGAACATGCAACTGGAGCTTACGAAAAATTTATGAGCTTTCTCTCCGAAAGCAAGGACTGATAACACAAAATGTTAATCTGAGAAATATATAGAAGGGTAAAAACCCTTCTTGAATGTAGAGGTCCACTCAACGCGTTAATAAAACCGATTGGTTCCTTCTTGCCGGATATTTAATCCTCTCTAAGGTAGAGATGCTAATGCCAGACGTCACTTGAAGAAGTGAGAATTAAAACAAAACTGTATGCAAGGATGGCTATACAGCAAAGGGCTGATTTACTTGAGGCCAATATTTCGGCTAACAAAATGAGCGTTCCTCAGGGCCAGAGCTACGATGAAAAAGAATACTGTGACGGCCTCTTTCAGAGTAGTTCTGGCCTTTTCGAACGCTTATGGTTAATGGTTTGCACGAACGTTTTCAATCTGCGTACAAGGTGAAGCGAACCACAGTACAGAGACCGCACTGCTAACGATCACAAATGACATCTTACTGTCACTGAACGGGGGGGGGACAATGTGCCCCTATTGTTATTGGACTTGTCAGCAGCATTTTACAAGGTTAATCATTCTTTGCTACTTTCGCGTCTGGAGAACTCGTTTGGCTGAAGGGATCACGGGAACTGTTCTGCAGTGGTTTCATTCTTCTCTGTCTGGCCGATCTCCGTTTGTCGAAATGAATGATACAAAAACGTCGGTTAGAGATCGGATGGTAGACGTGCCGCAGGGCTCTGTCCTAGGTCCCATTTTGTATCTGTTGTACATCGCACCACTTGCTGAGATAATACGAAGTCATGGAGTCGACTATCATTTCTATGCTGATGATACTCAGCTCTACATATCGTTCAAAGATTGTGATGTCGATGTTGCAAAGCTGCGTGTAGAGAACTGTGTCGCTGATATATGTCAGTGGATGGACGTAAACGAGCTGAAACTCAATCACGACAAGACAAAAATTATGCTTGTTTACTCGAAGTACCATACTCGTCCACTTTTCAGCTACTTCAGTATGGTAATGAGAAGCTGACAACACCGCCAATGCCAGGAGTCTGGAAGTAGTACTTGATGACAACATGTTATTCGACGTGCACGTCTCAGACATTTGCAGATCATCGTTAAACCAGCTTAGGAACTTATCAAAGATAACAAAATATCTCACACAGGAGTCTAGGGAAATTGCTGTGCATGTTTTTATAACGTCTAAACTAGTCTATTGCAATTCCTTGCTCTACGATTGTAGGAAAGTGCAGTTGAAGAAGCTTCAATACTGTCAGAACACTGCCGCCAGAATCGTTACTCAGACTCGTAAATTTGATCACATTACGCCTGTTTAATTTGACCTGGCTTCCTGTTAGTTAACGTATTGTTTTTAAAATTCTTTTGCAAGTTTTCAAATCACTTAATAACCTTTCACCAGGCTATCTGGCGGACAGACTTAGTCATCAATCGCATTCCAGGCCCTTACGGTCCGCATCTGAGCAGCTGTTAGAACAACTTCGATCATTCACGAAAACTTACGGGCACAAGGCTTTTTCAGTGTGTGCCCTTAAACTGCGTAAGTCACCATCGTTAACTGGTTTTAAGAAAGGACTGAAAACATATCTTTTTACGCAATTTTTAGAGAGTGGGTCATTGTTTTTGTAAAATGATTTTAAGACCTGTAATGTGTGGATTGTAAATAGATTTTTAATATTTTTTTATTCCATGCTTGTGATATGTAAATTATTTCATTTTTTCCCGTTTTTGTTGCATAGTAAAGCGCCTTGAGTTCAGGATATAAGCGCTATATAAATAAAGTTATTATTGTAATTACTATTAATTTTGTTAGCCGAAATATTGGCCTCAATTGCCGTATTGCCAGCGTTGCATTCAGTTTTGTTTTAAAGGAGAGTAATTACAATCGCAGATTAAAATTCTTTTCCTGGATTAGCGTTAATCGTTCTTTCAGGGAGCGGGCAATTACAAATAACCAAAAATGTCCTGATTCAAAGACAGTTAACAAACCTGAAGTCGTGGGGGGATATCTGAATCAATGTAACACTTGACAATTGTCCTGGCCTTTTCCAATAGTAAATTTTCATCTTCCAGAGTGTAGTTTCCCGACCTTGCACACTCGGCGGCGTTTTCAGCCTGATATTTGAACCTTTCTACTTCCATCCAGAACTCTATGTCACTGATTAAACGGTCAGTGTTCACGAACTTGCTGTTGATCACTCGCCGTGTCGGGTGCAGTGCGTGACGACGCAGGTCTAATACCAGATACAAACAAAATCAGTAAGCTTTCAGGGGAATGGGTACAAGCTTTCGGTGCAACGCTGAACAATGGTTGCCATGGATACCATTGACCAATCATAACCAACACTTGTCCACCCAAGAGATCTCAGAAATTGTTGCGCGGAAACGTTGTACCCATTCCGAGAAACACTTTAAATTCGTAAATACGAGGCTCCACTTTCGGTCGTATTTTCCATTCTATTTTTGGTGTTTGATAAGTGATGAAACACTACGACTCGTGTTTGATTTGTCACTAGAAAAGTTTCTACGTCAACTCAAATTCCTTGGGCCAAAAACAAACATTCAAATCCGATCAGATAATTTTATTGTAAAAGACGCTTACTCATGTGGTTAAAAGATGTTATTATGGACGACGTGCACGAGTACGAGATTTGGAAATCTGTGTCACTAAGCGTGCGAGCATAATTAAATCTCATAGTCCTCAAGTATATGTAGTCCACACCCTTTTATCTTCACGAGTGGAAGCAAACAAGATTCATGCAGTGCATTTAAATTGATTCAAGTTTTCTGGCACTAAATAGGTTTAGCAGCGTGTTTAATGCCTTAAATATAAGCGATCAGTTTATTGTTTGATTCTATTCAATTACATATCTGGTGACAGTAATCATATTTAAGTAAAAGAACAAGTACAAGACCGATAAAATCTCGAATCTGGCCAAACTCTTTACTTACTATGCTCCACTGTTGCTTTGCACTCCTTTCTCAGAAACTGTTTAAACTCTTGTAAGGACTCCGAATTATGGATCCCTCGCTGGAAACACATGACATTGTGAGCGAACATGGCCCACAGTCCTTTCTAGAGAAAGAGAATTCACAAACAGAACATTAGAACAAACAAAAAGCACACTGGCGAATAAACGTCAGCGCTCCTCACCGTTTTTCCATGAGCAGCCATCTTGTAAACTCCCGCCAGTGTATTTCTCATGGCGTAGTTTGCAAAATTTTCTCCTTCACCTTCATCTTCAGGGAACGTTGCCAGATACTCAGCGTACCTGACATGGAAAGGCATCACAAAAAAATTCGGTTTTACCAGAAAAGCACAGAAGCGATTGATAAACTGATTTTACAAGCTTTCACTGCCCGAAAACCCCAAAACAGGGCTTATCGAAAGTACGTGGATTTCCAGTAAGGGCGTTAAGGTTTCTCTGAAAACAATACTAGTTTGGAACGATTTCGTATATCATACAGATCAACAGATTAGACAACACATAGGCGAGGAGAGAGTTTGAAATTTTTTTTCCCCTTTTGATAAGAGATCTTCAACATGGCAAAAAAAGCAAAAAAAAATGCAAAATTTCCATCCGCAGAAGAACGATCCACAGTATAAAGCACATCCTGATCTCATTAGGGTTAAAAAGAATTCTGTTCGTTAATTTTTGGTTTTGGCCTTCAGCCTCCCAGTTACTTTCACCGCAGAATCTGCTTCGTACCCAGACTTCTCTCTTTCGATGAAAATTGGCGCACAAAAGAAGGCGGGAAGGCGACAACGGGCGAGACGGCGCTAAACCTCCCGTCTGTACCCTTCCCATGGTCCCTTGCTGTTCATCACCAGTCACTCGCGTTTCGCGCTCGCCTCTACCATGCGAAAAACGAAGTGCCTGAGGAGGAGGCTGTCGCAGATCCTTACCAGTTTTCCTCCATGGAACGGGCTACGCAGGCCTGGGCTGAGACAAGCATCGGAGGGGTGGCCTTGTCTAGAAGCGGAATATCCCTGATGATTTCAGCTTTGCACTGTAAGTATTCGACTAAAATGCAAACATATAAAAACAAAAACAGGATGACTGTTTGGTCTCAATTATGGCAAAAGTACTTTCACGTTCATCTGTACACCATGGGGGAATAGTTCTGTACCTTGCTAGAAGCACCAGCGGGGGACTCATTAAACAAAGGCATGTCCCTCTTGTGGGGGTATCTGTTAATGAAACGGTTCCAAATGGCTAGTATGGGTCATCGCCTGGAATGCAGTCCCGTTGAGCGAAAAGGTAATAACTATTTCCCCTTGGTCCGTAGTGATACCTCAAAGGTTAGTACAGAAGAGCTTCTGGGCACCGGAACCAAAAACGTTGATATGTCTAATATGAACAAAAAAATTTAAAACCTAATTTGCAGAATAATGCGAAAAAAACTACAATCTTGGGCACACTCAAAACGCCTCTACCAACGATTTGGTGCTTCTCTGATGACCCCTTCCATCACCCAACCCTGGGCAAGGTTGTTCAGTGAGGGGCGGAAATGATCCAGCCGGACTTCAACGTTGTTTTTTGGGGGAAGAGGAAAGTATTTGTAATTGCCAGTGCTTTAAGGAGCTTTGTCTTAAAACTAGACATAGCAACATCCAAGATTGTAGCTTTTTACAAGCGCGAGCTGAAGAGTTGTACTTGGTTCTACCGTGAAACAATCGGAGCTAGATTATTTATGTAAAATTCCGTTTCTCCTGATTAAAAGCCAGTCCAGTTCACTAGCCATTGAAGCACGTTACCTACTTCCTTTGGCAGGTAAGGCTCCATTCTTAAGCAATAGACCACATTTTCTATGGGTTTACGCGCGTGATAACCCACGTGGGATGTTCGGAGAACACGAGAAAAGCTTGTAAATCACAAGCCGAATGCGAGTAATTTACAAGCTTTTCTCGTGTTCTCCCAACATCCCGCGTGAGTTATCACGCCCGTAAACCCATAGAAAGTGTGGTCTATGGCTTTTATAAAGTAACTTTAAGTAAAACTATGAGTTTACCGACACAATAAACCATAGGTTTTTAACCAATCAGAACGCGAGTACTATCTTAATTATTTTATGAAGTGTAATAACCTACCGGCTGTGGTTGGTATGTTGGTGAAGTACTTTTTAACAATTGTCATTGCTCTAGCCTGCCGAGCCTTGCCGTCTTTACAGTTCATTTTCATATTTTCTACTGCCTGCCAAAACAGTAAAGGAGCTTCACACTGCTTCTCGGTTAAAAATCGCTTGAACCACATCAGCTGAAGGGAGTCGTAGATGACATCGATGAAGCATCTGAAACGAAATCGCAGCAGGAATAGGGTAACCGGTCATTTCGCCCCGGTTACTAAGCCCCCTATTTTGAAGTCATTTAGTGCATTTCAAATGTAATATTCCTTGTTATATAAGCCATGCATCAAAAGCCACCTCAGCTGTGTGTGTGTGTGTGTGTGTGGGGGGGGGGTTCATAATTTTTTTTGGAATTTTTTTTTTGTGGGGGGGGGTTGAATTTTGAGGGAGAAAACATTTTTGTGCCCCTTTTTTTCGGTATTTTACCGACCCTTCCCCCAGTAATCATTATCACTCCCCCCTCACCTTGGTTTCGGGGGTCTCATCTTAATTCCAGTCAACTTCTTATTTCCCTCAGACGCGTCATCATCCTGCCTTGTCAAGTGTCCATAGAAATGCGAGGGTCTTTTGCTCCTTGCATTCAATATCTCCTTTTCTTTCTCATAGTCTCTCAAACTTGGAATCACAAAGTCATTGCCGACCGCCTCACTCTCGTCTTCATCCTCGTCACCTTGTCCAAGAGAAAAACCTGAAGGAAGGCAACAATTAGTTATTTCGGCTATAAAAATTCTAGCCGAATTTTTGTAAACATGCTTGAAAATGACCCAGAATATTCGCACAGAAACTTGGCGATCTGGTGACTGCCGTGAGAATCAGTTTCACAGGGCACTTAACGTCTTGGTCGGTCCCATCGTCAAGATCAGGCCCTCAGCTAACTTCCCATGTGTGCTATTGTCAGGTCAGGGGGGATTTGGCTTTGAATTCTCTGCTTGTGGCTGGCTTAAATCTCAAGCTGCCTCGGTCATTTGGCAGGCGCAAAGCTAGAGATGACTAAGATGACAGTGTCTTTGTGATAGACGAATATTTCTTTCCTAATTAGGAGTCAAGAAGAGAGTCACCTTGGAAGGCTTACGGGTAAGAGCTGAATTTCTTTACGATTAGCCATTGGCCCCTTTATTATAAGTCACGTTAAGCTGGTTGGCCTCGACTTGCCAGCTGGTGCGGTTATCATAAATTTGGCTAGAATGACATTTACATTTTAAATTCAGTTTTACAGTGACTCTGTTTTGTAAAGGGGAACGATCACAATGAACAACAGTTTTGATGTCCATACCCTAACTTACCGGAAACACCGAGACTGACTGCTAGTTTTAAAGCGCACCACTTTTGAAGAGCGGAGCATCCTGGTTTTGTTACGCTGCTGATATATTTCTTCTTGGAAGCACTCTTTCTTCGAATTCCCTATGAAAATTCAACAAACGGCAGCAGGACTTAGTAGCTCAGTCGGTAGAGCGCTTGACTGCAGAGAAGCAGGTCGCGAGCTCGATCCCCGGAGCAGAACCAATACTCAGCGTCTGAAAACAACTGAGCAATGACGAAGTTACTCGGTCTTTACCCGGCAAACGGCTAGACTTTCGCGTGGCTCGGATGACCACGTAAAATGGCGATGCCGATCTCGTCTCCAGTAGGAGAAAATGGTTCCCTTAATCAGCCACTTTCTCGCTTAATTAATAAAAGTCCCTGGGGCATTGTCCACTACAAGCCGGACAGATATGCCTTACTCACACTCGTAGTATGTCCTTTAAGTAAAGGCGTTATAAAGGCTAAGCCAAACCTGATATTCCAAGGGGAAAAACCTCAGGGGCAAATGTTTTGCAGACTGCTTCACTAAACCATGGCAATTGATTATCTGATTGTCTTTATTTCTCCGAAAAAAAATTAGTCAAGATTTGTTACCATCACAACATAGTCATCTTCAGCTTTAGTCTCATCATTACTCTCAATGTCTTTGTCATGGTCGTCATCACATTTCTTAAAATTTATTGTTTGGAATGTCGCCAATAAAAAAATTCCAAAACCTCCAGAATTTGAAAAACGATTGCGTTACTTTTATGAGCCTTACTGCCCGGAATAGTCAATCGATAAAAATCGATAGCAATCAAGTGATTTTTATCGATTGATAACAAAAATCGGTGAAAATAGATAAACTACATTGCTGTATCAAATCGATATTATCGATTTTTCATTATTTTAACGATTTGTAACGGTAAGTCCGACACTGTTGTTTTTGGCATCAGTTAAATAGCACAGCTGAGAAAACACATCCACGAGTAACAACTGATCAACAAACATGAAAAGAAGAAATGTGGAAACTATTACAGACACAAGATTTTCTCTAAAAACCGTGACCCTTTTGTACATAATAACAGAAACGGTTCGGTTTAAATACATTTACAGTTCTCGCAGGCAAGTACCACGAGAAGTACAACCTTAGATAAAAGATTTCCCAGCCTGAATTTCAGACATCCTCTGGAGTAGAAGGGATGCCCAAAATTCAGACTAAAAGATTTCTCTGGATAGCTTTTCACTATTTTCCGTTAACAATCGATAAAATCACTTGATCGCCAACGATTTTTATCGATTTCGATTTTTATCTATTGGCTTCTGCGGGAAGTAACTACACGTTGAACTAAGGTTATTTTGATCTAAATCGTGAAAAACTGGGAAAAACAAAAAACGTGGCCAATGTCGGCCATCCGAAGAAGACTTTAAAGCGGGTTTTAAAGAAAAGTTAAGGGTTTTGAAAAAAGTGATAATAAATTATTTGATCCTTCGACTCTCAATTGCAACTCACTTGTCAACAAATACACTGCTTGCATGAAATCAGTTTTCATTTTTGGATGAACAGAAGAACAGATGTCTCTTCCGATAAAAATCGATGGAATCGGTTAAATCTAGATAAACCGATAAAAGAAGCGAATGTGTCATCGATTTCTACCGATTGATCGATACAATCGATATCAATCAAATCAGATTTATCCATTTTTATCGATTTAAAAATCGATACCGATTTTTATCGATTTACAACTCCGGGCTTACTGTAATTTTAACCATACCACGCTGCTGATAAAATGGTCCTCGTCAGAACGAACATACTCAGACCACTGTAAGGCGACTGCCTGTAAAAAAAGCAAAAATACCGATAGCCGGCGTAGCAGGCGCTCGGAACTAGTGGCCGAAAGAGAGAACGGGCGCCTGCGAGGGAGACACGCGTGTCTCCTTCTCGCGCGCTCTTTTTTTCTTGTGCCCACTACCTCCAAGCGCCTGCTACACAGGCTAAAATACTGACGAACGAAGAATACGCTGTCATTAGTTTGTTTGTGCGTCGTTACAGTAATAAATAATAGAACGAGGCAGTACCCACGCACCCAGTCTTAAAAGGTGTGATCTTATTTGATTGGACCCCTATATGTCGCAGCTCTTTTATTTTAGGGCTGGGTTTCCATTGTTAATTTTGTTAGTGCATTGTTTTTCCAAACAATTCTGTGAGGCTTTGATACAGCTTCGAATCGACTTAATCCAGGTCTTATTATAATATATACTACGGCATCATTCTTCATATCAGAAACCGTTAAACTAGGGGCGGGTCGTGAGAACCCCTCCCTATTCCTATCCCAAGATACCCTTTCAACAATTCACCGTAAAATTCCGAAAATAAGCCCCTCTATGTATAAGCCTCTCCAAATATAAGCCCCCCAAACCGGTAACGCAAAAAACCCTCCGTTAAATCGCTCCTCCAAATATAAGCCCCCCCGGGGGCTTGTACTTGGAAAATTGCCCGCAAATACAAAGTACAACAAAGCAAAAACTTTAAATTTACTTCCAACTATAAGGCTAGCCCTATCGATTTTGACACGCAAATTTCTCTCCGTACATAAGCCCCTCCAAAAATAAGCCCCTCAAAAAGGGCCTTTGAAAAATATAAGCCCCTGGGCTTAATTTCGGAATTTTACGGTATCTTAACTATCTCAATGTATCTCAAGTGAGCGCCTGAACCTGAATCAAAATTCTCGGCCCACCAGTGAATCTCGTAGGTTTTATTTAGGAAGTGTTAAAACTAAATGGCCCACGTTAGTTTTCTATATTCAAGGTCAACGCTTGTAAGAATCACCAGTGTTACACTACGGAACCAACCAAACTAACAAAAGCATGCGCAAAAGATTACCTGTACTGATTTCTTCACGAAACTGGACAACAAATGATCCCCCTTCTCTTCGGGGAGAAGCCGCATCAAATCATCCCTAACACGCATGCCCATTTCTATTTGCCGCGGAGATCCTGGGGCGATATAGGTCGCAATAAGCGTTTTTGCTGAGTGATATTTGTTGTAACTGCCAAAATCCTCTGACGGTGATAAATACCGCTGAGCGTCTTCCCAGAACTGAAGGCTGCTAAGCGCTTGATCTTGCTGGGTTTTCTCTAGGTATTCACGGAGAGGGCCGCCGGCCAACTTGTCTGCAGTCAGCGCAACTAGCGTAGGCAAACTGAGTTCATCCGACACACTTACGTCTGCACCCAAAAAAGGGGAAGAAAATATGTAACACACGTTTGGTATAGTACCGGTAGTTCCAATTGATCAGTAATTTAACTTTCTTAACCAAAAACACAATTCTTGGAGGCAAGTTTATCAGACAAAACTTAAACATTTCAGGAGCTAGTGTAAACGGGAACCACGGCTAGCAAACAGAAAAGCATTTACCAGTATCACTTTTGAAGAGGACAAGTCTTTCCCGCTGGAGGGTATCCCTAGGGTACACATTCCGTGGCTCATTAACCATTGCTGCTATTTCGTGTCCAACCTCTTTGAACGGGATCACACGGGAAGCCGAAACTCGTCTTAAGGCCAGGAGTGCAGACTGAGGTGGTGAAGCTTGAAACCATAAGAAAAAATATCAGTTGTTTATGAAGAAGCTTAAGCCCGTTTTCCAAATGATCGCTACAATCGTTGTGATCGCTGCGATCGCTGAGAAAAAAAAGTTCAGCGATCGCATCGATCATATGAAAACCACTCTCCAGCGATCGCAGCGACAACGATCAAGTTCTATCTCATTGATCGCTGTCGCTGCGATCGCTACTATTGCTGGAAAGTGGTTTCCATATGATCGCCCCGATCGCCGCACTTTTTTCCTAAGCGATCATATGGAAACCGGGCTTAAAAGAAGAAAAAAATAATTCACAATTTTTTAAAATTCACTGAAATTGTTTCATTTTGCTTTGTTTTTGGTCGGTAGAGGTCATCGAGTTCACGGAGAAAGGAAAATAAATCCTGTTTTTTTTCACTTTCTCTACAAAAACCATCTAATTATTAAACGCTACTGTTTTGCATCGAGCGCCAAAGAAATGTAGAAAAAGGAAATTGCACGTGCAGTGCCATTGTTTTGCTCATCAATGACAACCCATCGCTTATGACTTTCTCGACCTTCGCCCTGATCTTCGCCGCCACAGTAAACATGTTTGGCAACGCCTATTCCCCTAGCCAACGGCTACCTGCTTTCGAAATTCACGTGCTCCACGGTAAGTTGACAAATTCTTTGAATTTTCAGGTCACTACTTTGCTTCTCCTTATTCTCCGCTTTGTTTGTTACGATTTCAAACAACTCTTATTTTAATACTTTTTCGGTTTGTTAATTCTCTTTAATCATGGATGAGACTTTTACAGTCATTTGCTTTTCTCTCTTGGAGTATAAATGCAGCATAAAAGTGTTATAGAGCTCTCATCCTCTGAGTCACCTTTTACTGTTTTACGGTCTCATCCATACATTCTAGTTTATAATTTCCTCAACAGCGTTTTCCGCATATATTCTCAGTTTTCTGTTTCTGTTTTGTTTATACATTGGCCTGACTCAGAGGCTGAAAAGGCTTTTCGTCATTGCGTGAGTTAAAAGCATATTTTATTACTGTACAGCAACCTATTTATTTTATATTCTTTGCAACTCCATGTACATGTATTTACATCTATAACTGTTCTGAGAGACTGGACTCAAATGTTCGTGCACAGGTGTACTCTATTTTCTATGGACGGGAGGCCTGTGGTATCCCTATCTATTTTCACTTTCTCTTTTTCCATTGAAATTTAGTCAAATAAAAGCCAAGCCAAATCAAAATATAGAAATCACGGTTAATAAAAAGTATAGAAAATAAAATAAAATAAAATGCTTCATGCCTGTGCCGGAGACCAAATGGCCTGAGTTTAAGCCATCTCCTGAGGTCGCTATCTTTCTCGGGAGTGAGCGTCGCGACAAGGCGGCTGAAATTCAGGCTAGAAACCAAACAGCAGGGACAAAAATAAGATAACCTCTAAGTTTTGGATAGTTTGCTATCTTTTCGCGTAGTTTGTAGAACGTTTAAGAGCTAATGGATTTAAAGGTAGACAACGCGTGTTCTTTGATACCTACCTTCTAACGACCTAAATGGAGAGGAACTTTCTGGTGATGATTCATAAAGTTCCTCTGTCATAAGGCTTTGTTGTGATGCCAGTGCCTCATACACGGTCTTAAGCTTCGTTGAAGCTGATGACGGGATTTGCGCGTAAGGAGGTCGCAGTTTAGGAAGGCTGACTCGTTCTTCTTCCAAAGCTTCTTTTTTCTCAGCGGCCTCTGTTTCATCGACACAGAAAAAAAAACATCAGGTAGTGAATAACTAACTGTAACAAGAATTGACCGACACAAGCTCCATCGGTGAACATTGCAGCTTGGCAAACATTGCAGCTCCAGCAAACGATCCGATTAACGAATGAAAGTTTCCATACGTATTCTTCTCCCACCAACCCTGGTGTGCTACCAACAATGGATATAAATCATGTTTATTAATAAGCGCATATCGACTGTTATGGTTTTTTGGAAATAACCTAACATATCAATGTCGAAAGACTAAACCAAAGAATGAAATTTTATGCTGCTTTGCAAATTTTTAGTCGTCCGATGTTTCAGCTTAAGTAGAAGTTCATTGTTTATTTTATTGAAGGTCAAATAACAGCGAACTTTTCGAGGTAAACTTTCAACTTTATCCAAGGAGTTGTAACCGGCAAATTCGTTTTCGATGACTGCGTCGCAATTGCATAGCGAAGTTCCAAAAACAGAATAATTTGAGACAAGTGCTCAAAATAATTAATGAATAATTTTGCATGCATCTAGGCAACTCCGTTTAATAATATGCCCTACTCTGCTCGAGTTTTTCTTCTTCCCTTCGCCACCTCATGAAGTCAGCAGTTGCAAATGCGGGTTCAGATATAGACTTTTCCTCGAGGGGTGTGATGGGACGTGACGTTGGTGGGTTGGGAAACGAAAGGCTGTTTTCCACAATCCTCTCCCTTCCAGCCTCCAATGACTGCCAATCTGGAAACATTTCGTTCTCTTCCTCTTCGCCAATAGCGTTCAAAGAAGCGTCATCTGGTTCTGGAGTAACTGGACTTGAAGGTGGGGCCTCGCGTATCTAATGTACGTCAAAAGGACGACAGAAAGAAAGAAAACCGCAGTCAGCTTTTTATCACTGAGAGTTTAAAAGAGACCGCAAAACTCCACCTGTATGCTATGTGAACAAATGATGCGATTCAATAGTTAACAGTGTTTTATTGCAATTGAATGCTAAAGAGGATATTTAACAATTGTTCCTCTCGCCCGAATGGACTCTGAGTCAATAGCCCATGAGGCTGAAGGCCGAATGGGCTATTGACTCAGAGGCCATGAGGGCGAGAGGAATAATTGTTTTAGTAAAATCCAACTAGTTGGTAAAAAATATCGAGAATAAAAAACTTTTAGCCAGTTAAAGCCTTAATCCTTTTCTGCCGCCAAAAAGCCGGCGCTTTTCGCCACTAGTGGGCTATAACATATAGCCTAGTAGTAGCATTGATGATAGACCACTAGTTGGATTTTACTAAAATATCAATAACTACATGTAGTAGCAATTTCAACTTAGGAATGCGTCCGACAGGAAAGGTGAGGGGCTAATTTCAAAGCGAGGTACCAAAAAGAATCGCGTTCCCGGTTAACAGAAAGCCCATGAAAAATATTTTGTAGGAGCAGCTAAAACATCACAAACGGGATGTTCAATGATGATTAAAGAATGAAGTTTAGAAATAAGGCCTATTGACAGAGATCTTTTTTTAGGGAAAGACTAGCTCCTTGGATCTTCTTTATGTTAGACTACCTTCCTACCTTCTCTTTCTCCTCCGAAGAGGCCTCTTTGTGTTGTCGGGAGACTGGGGAGAGGGAAAAATGAGAGCGCACAGGGTATGATGGGAAGGGAAAATAGAGGAAGAGAGGCTCCCGCCTTTTCCCTCTTCCCATCTCCCGCGCGCTTAGTATTTTTTAATTATTATTATTACAATCTGTAATTATTGCTAATTTTATTGGAATACACAGCGGTAGCCTCTGCGGAGGAAGGAGCCACTTTCTAGTGAATTAATATTCATAGCTCACCCCTCCCAACCGACGCAGTTCCAACGGCATATCATCAGGTGGCTCGACCTGATCGTCACTTCCGGTAAGGTTGTAATCAACACCTTCCCAGAACCACCTCTTCCATTCTTCCAACTTCCTCGCGCGAATTTCCTCTTCCGTTTCTGTGACACTCTCTGTTGAAGAAACGCGCTGTGCTTCCATAAATTCGTCGATCTCTTCTGGAGATTTTGTTTTAGAAAGTGGGATTTCTTGCTCAACTTTTCGAACCGGCGAGAATCGTCTGATCTCTGGTCTAAACACAGATTGACCACAGCGTTTTTCTTCTATAAATTTCTCAAGACGTTTCTTGTGTTCTATGTACTTGGGAACCCAATAACTTATCAAACGCTCCAAAGCCATCCTCTGTCCGGGTATAAAAACGTTCCCTGAAAATATCGAAGCATCGGAGAGGTACATTCGTCTAGAAACACTTTTCGGAAATTTAAAAGAAGATTTTCTTTCCAAGTCGGGCGTTCCCCCGCATATGCTGATCCATTTCATGATCTCAGGAAGTTCCCTGGGGGATCCACTACGTAGATATTTGGCTTGAATATCGCGGAAAACGAACCTCCTGTGCTCCTTTTTTGTCACCCTACGGAATCGCTCTGCTTCGATCCAAAAAAGCAAGATTTTCTGTCCTGAAGTACCGCGCAGGAAACGATGAAAAGTGCGCATTCCCTCGACAGTACCCAGATAGGTTCTTGTTTGATCAAGGTCCACTGAGGTACCTGCAAGAAGTAAAGAGATTTCAAATCTCACAAAGCCTCTGCACGCTTAAATTACAAGCGGTTGAAATTCAGAACAATTCCTTTACACAGAATCCAAGAATGAGACTGTTGAGCCACCTGGCTCGAACCAAATGTTCTGTACACGGCAACAGCAATCATTTACTGCAATTTGCAAATTTTAAAACAACTACAGTATTGTAAAAAACGTTTCACTTCAAGTTGGGTACATGCCCACTTAGAAGATTCACCTTTGCTGAATGTAATGTGGTTAAGAATTGCATATTTTGGTATAGAGTGGGGGTTTCATAGTACAGTGGAACCTCTATACAACGAAGTCCTCGGTATAACGAACAATTTTCATTACCACAGTAATAGTGAAATACATGAAAAAAAAAAACTCGATAAAACGAAACCTCCTTATAGAGGACATGTTCAGCTGTCAGTCTCTTGGCTCTTCGTTATATCGAGGTTTCACTGTATATCCAAGAACTTTCAGAGCACATTGTACTCCCCGCGGGAGTTATTGCAAAGGCCGAAAGGAACATTTGGGCACAAGTATTGCAGGTTAGTGTGTTGGGATCAAAGGAGGGCGTAAACGCAGAACCGCTCAAAAAAGTAAAAACAAACAAAAAACAAAATTTACCAAAATTTGTCATAACAGCAAGCCATATGATCTTGTACAACCTCAATATTGTAGGTTGAAACAAAAATTCCCGCCAACCGGTATCACCGCAAACCGTTAAGGCTGATGTCCACTGACGCTTTTTTGGTGACGAACGTTAACGTACGTAACTTTTAATCACGCCAGTAAATAAAAAAGAGGCAAGACATAAAGTGTTGAGGTTAAACGTGAAGTTGAGCGAGGTTCAACTTTTACGCTTACGAGCGACCTTTCATGCATTTCCTCTATTTTATTTGCGAACGTAAATTTTACGCACGTACGCAGGTTAGTGTTGAGGTGGATCACAGTAGGCTTGATGTACGAATCGTGCTGTAGTTTAATCCTTCATCTGTTTCTTGTACCCTTTACTAGACCAGAATGTTCAGCTTCTATAAAATATTCCAAACGTAACTGCTTAGAAACCGCTACGCTTTACAGCACCAAAACTGCCGCTTATGAGCTCCCCCAGATACCCCTAGGTTGATAAGCCCTCTTACCCCCCCCCCCCCCCCTCCCTCGCCGCCCCCCTACAAAGACGTATAAGCCAGGGCTTATAGGGTGATGTTACGCGGTAGGATTCGCATCGACGATTTTAAGCGCAACACAGCATTACAACATTGTTGCGACATTGTCTCGAATGGCTGCAACAATGTTCCAATATTGCTACGCTGAGTTGCGCTCAAAATCGTTGTTGCGAATCGTCCCGTGTAACATCACCTGTAAGCGGCATTTTACTGTGAGCATATAGCTTATAGATGAAAGATCATCTCCCGAGGTTGCATTTGTTAGTAGCGGGTAGCGTAGCTAACCTGATGAGCCAGCAGCTTTCTCAAGATGGACATATAACAGGTACTCAAGGAACAAATCTGTTTTCCAGAAAAGGCGCAGCCTTTCCTTTCTCACCCACTTTTTCACTCGATAATGTGGTAGGTGCTATCAAGAAAGAAAAGAAATTAGAATGTATAGCCTTAATCAAGTTACTAGATCATTGCAGAGAGGGAAATAGGCTACCTATAACGTAAAACAGTTTACTTGTCAATTTATACTATTCTATTCTACCATGATACACAATTAGCCCGTAGCCCGTAGCTCGTAGCCCGAAATCATCCATAATTTCGGGCCTGCGCTTTTGTGTTACTGTACTATGCATCGCCACCCTTGTTACTAATAGCGAGCTTTTAATTCGCCTGTCAGCTAGTTCATTGCGATCAGTGAATTGACGTCAAAGTTACGTCTTCCCACGATGATGGTAGCCTGATTGTCAGACGTCCGAGGTCGCTCGCGGCCCCTTCGCTTCTCTCCCTCGAAGGGGCGCGAAAGACCTCGGACGTCTGAGAATCGGGCTACGATGGTGGCGGTTTATGCCGCATTTTGACACTCGGCACGCCTATCGGCATCCAAGGCAGTCACGGTATTCTTCCAAAACTTGTCTTTCCATGACGCATAATAAGTCTGTACGGAGAACTTATTACAAATTTAGGCTTGGTCATTACTTACATAACATGTCCGTGGCGGGGGAGGGTCGATGCTGAAATTATCCTCTGCTGGGTTGTAAGTTAATCGTTTACCAAACACCTGTCAAGAGTGTCATGAAAGCAAATGTACATTTCAAACAAATAACACCGAAGGCCGTTCTGTGACACTATGGTAACAGCCATGTTTTAACCTCCGAGTGAAAAAAGAGCCATAACAGAAACTCACTCGATCTGACATTCAGGGATGTGACAATGACCGTTTTCTTCTCAAGATGCATTATCCGTTTTGGAAAGGACGAAGGTGGGAAAGAGTTTGTTCACGTGTTTCGTAGTTGGTCTAGTTTAGAGAGGAGAAGTGTGACGTCAGGTTACCATTGTAGCAAGATTTCTGGATCTCAACATTCTTTCTTGACAGAGACGGCCATTTGCATTGTCGAACCATGAAAGAAAAGCATTGGCTACTGTTTTCTTACCTGAGTGCAGTCATGAATAGAAAACTCAAACATGTCAATTTTTCGTTTTTTCCGCCATATTTGCAGAACCAAGGTTTGCTGAGATTCAGAAATTTTGCTTCCATGGCAATCTGACGTAACGACATCTCCTCTCCATTACCATGGGCACTAGATCAGTGTGGATAGTCGTAATATCAACTATGGACGTCACGGTCTTTCATGTCTCTCCTAAGTCCACCCCAATGGGATAATACGGCTCCGAGTGAAAAAAACCGAACTTCATCATATCGACTAAAGATGAAGATGAATTTATCTAAGGCTCCGTCCATAACAAATCCAGACATTTTTAAAACCACATTATCATTTTTCAAGTCATGAATCGGTGTTCCAATCATACGAAGAAAGTGAATCCGCTTATTGATCTTGTGGTGAATATGCCACTGTTTAGGAAATTCACTGGGCAAAATTGTGACTGTGCAATATTTCACCCATAAGGCAAAAAATATAGGATAAACTATAAGGGCCAAATATTTAAACGTAGCTCAGCCATGCAGTGTTTAACAAAACCGCGCTCTAAGTCATTTTCAATTTGCCCAACGATTTTATCTAAACATCATTTACTGTGAACAGTTTTATGAAAGCATACAGAAGAAAAAAAAAGCATTTATCTTCTTAAAACAACCAATCAAAGAAGAGATGTGGAGGTTCAAAGATTCGTTAAACCGCGGCTTAAGTTAGACTTCGTTTGAATATTTGGCCCTAAAAGTTTACATAACAAAGAAGGAACACCGTATTGCAGCCGGGCTACACGAAACTATGACCATCTTCCATTGCGTTTCCGATTCCGATTTCATTCTATATGTTACAAATTAAAATCACCTATTTCCAAAAATTTCTGAAAATTTCGGTCGAAACATTAACTAACATTTCGGCCTGGAAAAGGTGGTTTGCCTCCAGATATGGTTCTTTTTGGCCAGTCGGTCCGGTGCAAACGAAACTCACCTTTCCATTTTCATAATTTTGATTTCCAATCACAGCTCACAGAGAATAAATCGAAATTCCGGTCAAAACTTTAGTGGAACGCTTTGATCGGTTCAGAAACTTTTCAGGTTGAGTTTGTTTCGATAGAACAACAGGAATTTGAAGCAACCAGCACGTCATTTATAAAATGCATTGGCGTTCTTTTAAAATTTATGGCGGTTATTTCAGCTGGTTCAATTGGTTAAATGGAAGCGAGTTTTCCTGGATTTGAATTTTTAGGGAGCAGATCGAAGCTTAAAAAGAAAAAGAAAACTTTGCCGTCGAGTGTCTAAGTTCTCTACAATGCGTCACATTGGAGGGTTTTCTACTTATGATTATAGTCGTGCAGTGATGGACAAGAAATGTACAAAAACGAATGGTGCACGTGCAGGGTTTTTGTTTTGGTCATTTAACCTTTTTTTTTTTTGACATTCTCGTTTCCGTCGAGGTCGCGGTTCCTTGAACTCCCTGGTATCATTCCATTTTCCTTAGTTTGTTCCACTAGTTTTTACCGAGTTATAGGGCGGTCTCCTATGATGGAAAGCCACCATAAATAATCTTAAAAAGTTAAAATAATTTTCGCGCGCTTCGCACTCACTTGCTTGCAATAAGATGATTTGACTAAAGAAAACTTTGCTTTGTTACTCGCTTTTAACGATCATCGCTAAAAAGTCAATTACTTTGTGTCATTTGTTGTTTAATTAATACTTACCGGAAGCGAAAGGAACGTATTCAAATACTCAACAAAAGCGGAATCGCTCAAAAGTTTTTCAAAGAGTTCTTCGCTTGGAATTCCTGATGAAAGTAGAGAAGTAAAACATTTGCGGAAAGTAAGCTTAAGCGTTTGAACAAACGAAGAAAAAGGGAAGAAAGTTATACGGGAAATGATCTTACCGCGAAGCTTGTCTAAATTGTCTAAAGGATCGTTGACGTCCATTTTTGCTATCCTACCAAGAACATGCTCTTTTTCGTGTTTTCTATTCACAGTTTTGTTGTTTTCTTGTTGCTAGGGATCGCATCTTGGCGCGCGACGCAATAATCGACAAAACCGTCTACGTCACGCGTGGTTGCTGTGAGAAGAGCGCAGGCGCAGGAAGGCTGCCGAAAATTCGATTGACAGACAGGAGTAGTGCAACAAATGGTAAAACTATTATATCCTGTAACTTCTAAAATCCCCTAGATATAATTCAAATCCGGCCCGGGTTGTCCAAAGCTGGGTTAAATTAACCGAGGGTTAGTGCAAAATTGGAATGCAGTTAGGGTTACAGGAGCCATTTTTTGGTTTCCATCAAGAATACACCAACAAGGAAATCTTCTACTTAAAGCCAACCCCTTCTTCCCACCCCACTTGAAAAACTTAAAAAAAAACTCTTTCTTTTGATGGGTGTAAGGATCACTGACAAAGTGTTTTTACAAACCAAAATTTCAAAAACCAAAAGAAAAAGAAAAGAGAGAAAGAAACAAAAAAGATTATGCAAAAGAAGAACAAAATCGGTACATAAAAAAGAGAAATGTAAATCAGTTCATGAATTTCCCTCCCTAGTTGGTTTAACATCAAATATGCAAAGCTCAGAAGGCAACAACACAACAAGCTTTCATTGGTAAGTTTTCAAGTATTCTTGTTCATCAAATTCTCACCACAAATTGACAAATGAACTGTTTACACTGCTTTTTTTACTGCTCTGTTCATTTTATAATGTTGAATAATCTGATGTAAAATCACAACATTGACAACGAAAAACACTACACTTGCAGCCCAAACAAACACAAATGTATTAATTCCTTCAAACTCCAAGTAGTATGCAGCAATCAGCCAGAGGCCCTAACATAGACAAGAAGAAAAGAACAGTTTATTAGGATAAAATATGTGGAGACAAGACAAACCATTGATTGGTTCCAAGTGTGTACCTTGAAAAAGACCTTGTCATGGTTTTCGACGCCATCTTGACGAGTGGGCAAACGCGTTGAAAATTACAGTGTTTGTATGAGAATCTAATGTTGAATAATTTCCACAGAACGGCTGTTCTGAAAAAAATATCAATTGTAAACTAAAGCTTCATTCCTAAGGATTCTACTGAAAAAATGAGGGGGTTACATGCGCTAAAAGACCTACATGTAGAACCACTTTTTTAAATTTTCTATACATTTGTCTGTAAGAAAGTCCTGGAAAAAACTACAGACAAATATATGGAAAATCTAAAGAAAGCTTCTGGAGAGATTTAAGCAGAGGTATGCCCCCCAAATTTTTTAGTACAATCCTTTGTTTTGTAGCTTTAGTTTACAAGTCATAGTTTTTTCAGAACGGCCATTTTACAGAGATTATTCGACATTAGATTCTTACACAAACACTGCAATTTCTCACACATTTGCCTACTCGTCAAGATGGCATCGAAAACCATAACAAGGTCTAAAGAGGTTCCAATGTATAGTGATAGAGTTTGTACAAAGTTAAGTGTCTCTAACAGGGGCGGATCCAGGATTTTTTTTAAGAGGGGGTGCACTCGTCTCTTGCTCTACTTCAACATCAATAAACCACATAGTTTTTTTTTTACAGGATACCAGTTGTATTAAAAAACCGCAGGTCATCTGGGGGGGGTGCGCACTCCCTGCACCCTCCCCCTAGATCTGCCCCTGTCTAAGATCAAGAGAATTGTTTATAGTGGACATAATGAGGTGGGGGTAGGGGGGAAGGTGGTGGAAAGAAAAGATTCAACTGTATCTTGAATCTTATTGAGTCTGTATCTGATTTTGAGTACTTCTCTCTTAATCTGGGGCTCTAATGGCTTTTACAAACACCTACCCCAGAACTCTCTATTTAGTCTGTATGCAGGTATCTCCCAGCAAATAATTACTTTCTTTATTGCCCATGCAACAAACGAAATGTACAGGTTATTCTGTCTTTAGATATAAGCATTTGATAGAGCCAGCTGTGCTTTTGTGACATCATACAGTACTTGAGAAAATTCTAGATAAAGCTGAACATCGTATCACCTACCTGGCTAACAAACCATGTCACAGTGAGAAGTAATGCTCTGCGTAATGTCATGCTTACTGAATCCACAACAAGTGGCAAAAGACACAGGTACCACAGGAAATACTGCAAAGAAAAAGAATAACTTTGCTTGGGTGGCCGGTGTTGGCTAAGTTGCAACTACCCATAAGTTGCATTTCTAGTACAATAATAATTATTTTTGTACTAGGAAATTCAATATAAGTGCAACTGCTAACATTGGAAATGCAAAATAGTGTTCAATTTGCATGTAATAAGGTATACAGCAAGGTTACAGAAATGAGACTGAAAAATGATAGTAATAATAATTATTATTATTATAATATAATAATTATAATAATATAATAATTATAATAATTATAATAATTATAATAATATAATAATTATAATAATAATTATTATTATTATAAACATGAGAGGGTGTTGAGGAAATTCAAAACAGTTATGTGAACCCCAGAAGAATCCAAGGGTTTGCAAAACTTTTGAGAAATCTCTTCTCAGCTTCTCATGTTTGATATTTGCTTGTCACTATCTTACCTGTGATGTGCAAACTTTGTTGAAGGTAACAAATGCAAATGTTTGCACAAAGCAGCAGAAAGAAATGTCACGATAATACACAATACCAAACACAACTGTCAGAACAAGCTGAGGAATGAAGGAAGCCAGACCGAGGACAACTGACCATCTTGAACCTTCAACCAGGTACATCATGTAGAAATACACTGAAAAGTTATGTTTCACATCCTTTCTGGTGACATGATAAAGGTATGTGTGCTCAAGAAACTCGAAACCATACCTGTAGAAAAAAGATAATGCTGAGACACTCAAAAGCTGGCCTGCAATGCAGATGTTTTTTCTGGGTGAACCTATTTGAAACTTCCAAATCCCCCCTGGCAAACCCTGGGAATTTGACCATCAATTGTGAGTGGGGAATTTGACCATAACCTGGTTGGGGTGGGTAATCTGAACCAGAAGTGTCAAGTTGACTTCTTTCAGATGATGCAGGTCTAACAATGTGGTTCAATAGATGCAATCTTTCACATGGTGAGATGGAGGATCATAAAGGTAAACAAACAGCTTGTTTGGTAAGGACGTCAAAAGCTACAACTGTGCATTTTTGAAGGTATAATCGATGAAACCAAGATCAAGTGCTAAATTGTTGTAGTTCAATTAGCAGTAAACATTATGTGAACTCTGGAAAATTGCAAAACATTTCTTCTTAGGGAGGGCTATTTGACCACTACATTGGGCTAATGTACAGTGATGGGGAATTTGAACAGGGCTATTTTAAAAAGCTCAAAGCCCTGGGGGATCAACCATGGGGATGTCGAAGTTTTAAATTGATTGGCGCATAAGTTGCTTGTTTATGTTTGCAACACTGTGGCTACCATCTTTGATTGTATCACTGAGGAAGAATGAGGAGAGTAGAAATTACAGCCCTTTATGTAGGTGATCCAACCCCTCAACTAGTTTCGAATTACATTTTAACATGCCTTGCCAGTGTCAAATTTGGGAGTAACTGCAGAATACCCAGCCATTTTGAAGCTATACCCCGATAACAGTGGCTACGTGGCTATGCGGCAACATGGCTAATCGTTAGCCAATCGGGTTTGTCCTGTTTGCAGGTGTTCTGCAGATGGGAACTGTGGCTGCAGTGATGTTAAGTTCCGCCAACCCTAACGCTAACCCTAACACTAATCCTAACCGTAACCGTAACCCAAACCCAAACCCATGGGGCACGCAGCAATGTGGCTACGCGAGGGGTAACAGCTTTGAAATGGCCAGGTATTCTACATAGCCCCATAGCCATGTAGCCACTGTTATAGGAGCATAGCTTCGAAATGGCCAGGTATTCTGCAGTTAATCCCAGATTTGTATCTACTCTTATAGAGACAAGATTTGCCTGAAAACTTGGGCAAAACCACTGCCCCAGATGTAAAAGGTCCACTTTTGGTTGACAAGTGTCACTCAAAAACGCCTTTCCTTCAGCTCTCTATTATATCCAGCACCCTAAAGGGCTTAAAAGGTAAAGATTTCAAGGAGCCTTACCTTTTATACAGTAGTCCAGTTAATCCCAAAAAGGTTACTGCAGAAATGACTGCAAACTTAACTCTGTGAGGATGAAATATAAACATAAGCATTTGACGAACGTATCCATGCGAATTCCGTTCATTTTTCAGTTTATGCACTTCAGATGTTTTGCAGCTATAAAGACTATCGCCCACAAGTAGAACTAGCGGTAAGCTATAAATAATAGGATAGATTTTAAAATGTACAGAAAGTGCAAAAAGTATGGCAGCCATTGAAATGTTTTTGACAAGGACGAAGTAGATAGTCGCAAGGACCAACACGGCCATCAAGGATTCCGCGTTTCCACGGGACGATACGGTTAAAGGAAGCGGGTTGAAGAACCATAGCCATGACGCAAAAACAGCCCGGCGATCAGCACAGCCTCTTACGCAAAGAATCTTATATAATAAATATCCAGCTAGCACATCGAATAGTACAAATAGAGCTTTCCCACAAGACATGTGTAGAGTAATATTTGGAGTTAGGATAAGAGAAAGTAGAGGAGTGTAGCGATATGTCGGTCGCAAATATGGCGAGTTGCCTTCCACCATGTGGCGTGCAGCGTCCGTGAAGACATGGTAATCGATGTCCGTATACTTCACCACCATGTTCTTGTCTTGCCATTCGCCGTAAGCGATAAGGAAAATCCTCAAAATCAAAGCAAAAAAGCATGTCACTCTGATAGTGAAAAACGTCTTCACGTCCGCCATGTTTATACTTGGTAGCCCAGCCTGTAACCCACAATGCAGCTCAATCCGTGAATCAATATGGCGGCATTTGGAGCAGGAGTTTATTTTTCCGCCGCTTTCCAAGTTGATTTAGAGGCCATATATTCCAAGGTATTTTAATTTCCCAAATTTTAAATGAGTGTTTTTCAATTTATATGTAGATTGCAATATCGATCACTCCATTATTGTAGTTTTCCTTTGGGTACAATTCTCATGACACGATATGGAAATGCTTGAAGTCAACACAGGCGGCCCAAACTCACGTTACGAGGGAAGGGTGTAATGTAATTTCCATACCATAGGTGACGCGCCGGTGTCGCGATACAGGCGACCGTTGAAAATATAAGAGAAATTTTTTTACTGAGATCTGCGAACGATAACGCTAAACCTTACTTTTTCTTAAATGAAATGAATAAAAAAGACTTACCTGCAATGTATTCCACTGCGTTTTGGTGTCTGATTGTCGTTTACTGTGTCTTTTGGCTTTATTGCGTAACCACTGTTACTCCTTTCATAGAACGAAGTGAAGGCTGGTCACTTCGATCTGGCGGGGTCCTGGACTAGTCGCAACAAGAATGCCGTTTTTTTCGCCAAAATTCAAATCCACTGCAAACTTTTCAGCTCCAGCCCAAGAGGGAAACCTCTTCTTCCTCTCTGGGAGATCAGCTCAAAAAAAGATCTATAATTTCCCCATCAAATTGAGCCATTTGTTCCGGACTTCAACGCACGTCTGGCTTTCGTCCAGTGCCTGTGACCACTGTTGCGCTTACCAACTAATTTGCATTATGACAACTAGCACTGACACGACGGTTGCCAGGGCGGAAATGACACGTCAACTACGCTCTTGCACTGTGAAAAAGCAAGTGCTTGCACCCGTCATGTAAGTGCTAATTGTCATAATGCAAATTAGTTGGTAAGGGCAACTGATGAGGTTTCCCTCTTGGGCTGGAGCTGAAAAATTTGCGGTGGATTTGAATTTCGGCAAAAAAAACGGCATTCTTGTTGCGACTGGTCCACGACTCCGCCTTCACTTCATTCTATGAAAGGTCAGTAACAGTGGTTACGCAATAAAGCCAAAAAAACAGTAAATGACGATCAGACACCAAAACGCAGTGGAATACATTGCAGGTAAGTCTTTTTTATTCATTTCATTTAAGAAAAAGTAAGGTTTAGCTTTATTTAGCATTCGCAGATCTCAGTAATATATTTCTCATACAAAGTCTCTTATATTTTCAACGGTCACCTGTAACGCGACACAGGCGCGTCACCTATGGTATGTAAATTACATTACACCCTTCCCTCGTAATGTGAGTTTGGGCCACCTGTGAAGTCAACTGTAATCAAATTAAATGAGTTTGTAAATCCCTTGCACAATTAACTTAACATCTTTTCATCTTTTTGGGTGAATTGTCTAAGGGAAAGCCAACTTAACCAGAAAAAGTCTAAAAGAAGGTCCATCCATGCAATATTATGTTCTTTTTTGTAGCCCCTCATTTTCAAAATAACTGAGATAGTACACGCGATCTGATTGGTCAAAAACCCAGCGTTTATTATTTATTATGTCAGTAGTTTCAAACTGTCTGCCAGCTTAGACAAAACAAGAAAATGTTATCTTTGAGATTAGGATTGTCTCTGTACTTGAGTGAGCAAAGTGTTCAATCAAAGTTTGAGTACAATGATGTTGTTTTGAGGTAATCCAGGTGACAGTAAACCAACCACTGCTTATCACTGGTTAATATCCACATACAAATTCTTTAGACTAATCTTCATACATTTCTTAGTTTGAGAGAATGTGATAAAGGATCAAAGCATTTTTTGTTTGGTGATCATTAATTCTCATAACCATATCTTTTGACATTGTGTGGATATTGTGAGGAGAAAATTAATCTTGGTCATTACACAGGGGCACCCAATGTCAATTTTCAGAAAATTAAGGAAAAAATAATGACGCCAGTTTTCAAATTGCTCCGCAGCTTCTCATGTCGGACCATTTAAAGACAGGGGTACCAAATATTAATTTTTGGAAAATATCTGTTCGGAAGACGATTTGAGATCTAGAATTTTCGGAACATTTGTTTTAAAATGTCTTGCTTGCCTGCCTCTCCAAGGATTTTCGAAATCTAAAAAATGGTATAATTGCCCATTTTGAACAGATTTTTACCCTAAAAAGGTCACCTAGAATTTTTGGGAGCCTTTTTTCTGGCTGAAATTTTCGAAAAGGTAAGTTTTGATCCCTATAAATTTTCAGATCACTAGACTTTCAGCTAGGAAATCCGAACAGATGAAAAATTTTGGGGGGATAAAAATATGCCCATATCTACCATTTAAATACTAAAATACATTTAAAGGGGCTGTGTCACGGCAGTCCAGTTCATTTTGTTTTATTTTTCCAATTACTCGCCCTCGATCGCTATGGAACTGAAAGTAGGCAAAGAAATCACATGTAAATGACAAAATCAGAGATTAGAGACAAACAAATATGTCTCCTGAGCATTATTTTTGAAGCTGCAAACAGCAGAGCTAAACTTTGAAAAACTGTTAGGCTGAACAGTTTTCAAAAACCCTAATTTCAATCCGTTTCAATCTTCATCAGTTTTGCCCATCTGTGGCAGCTGTTGTATCTGTTGCGTTATTTTAACCTTCCTTTAAAGTTTTAAGCAGTTATTTTTATGTTTCTCCTTGATTTAACGGGCATTTTGTAATGCCTAATTTGGCTGAATTTCATGACACAGCTCCTTTAACAATGCAATGTTTAAGTGGTTTTGAACTATATTGTCATTGGGTGCCCCTGATTACTGGGTCTTAAAGGCTTGATGGTGCCTGTATAGCTCGAAGAATTGTTTGTCCATGGGTGTGAGAGTCTGCACACGTGAGAGTTTGGGCGGCAAAGGTGCCATTCTTGTGGCAGAGCTATAGGAAGCGAGTGCCAAAGTCATTACTCTTCTGTCAATGCATGCAATGACAATCCCATTAACTAAACAGGCTAACCTATTAAACTAGTAATGGTATATTTTGCATTAATATTTTGTTGTGTTGGTGTGCATTTGCTGCAGCTCTGGTTCAATGTTTTGTTAAATGTTTTCAAATCTTAGTACACACAGTCTCAAGATGAAGACACTGATGCTATTTACCTCAGTGAAATTTGTGATGAAGGTATCGTAACTTAATATCCCATACTGGTTTGCTATGTATTTACAATCATTTTAGTTGACATCGTCACACAGATTACAAGTACAGTCGACTCCTGATAACTCGAACCTTTAAGGGAAATTGAAAAAAGTTCAAGTTATTGGGAACTCAAACCAAATAGCCGAAAGTAAGCAAAAAAAATTTTACTGTACAGTGAACATATTAAGCACATGTTAATTGTAGAAATGTCAAGTGAAAATGGAACGATGCTTCTAGATTATAAAACAGAACATAACTTAACAAAACATAGCCATAGACGTGTTACTGTTTCATGTTAGTTTTTTAGCCAACAGCATCAGCCTCCACAAACAAACTATATGCCTTGGGTGTACAACTCATCAATGGGAAATTCAAAGTTTCATATTGCAGTAAATAACATTTTTCCCCAGACTTGTCATGCAGTTAAAACATGGTTCGATATCCAGGGTAAAATTATATAGAAATGACCTGAGAGGAAACAAAATTACCTCAAGTTAGCAGGTGGTTTGAGTCATTGAGGGCTCGATTTACCGAGGGTAAAATTACAGTAGATGTATGAAGGAAATCCAGGGGAAATTGGTTTTTGGTTTCAGTTATGAACCCTCTAAGAATGTTTGCATTTATGCACAGTCAGTTGTTTCATAGCATATTCACAGCAGAGAAATGTGAATGTTGGCTTACTGCGAGAGGAAGGAGGAGTGTGCTCACCTTGGGCATACAAGTCCTATAAAAATTGCAATTCACGCTCTTTGAAGATTTGTATTTGAAAAATTCTTGTCATGGTATTAGCCATTTTCTTCTCAAGTTAGACTGTAGAGTATGCGGTGAAGTTGCCCAAAAGTCATCTCACCCGAAGTTATATCTCCCGAAACCAGAGAAATATTGCCCTGAGTTTTTAGTTAAGTCACCTGAAATGCGACATAACTCAGCATTTCGGGTGAATGACATACTTCAGGCAAGATGACTTTCAGGCGACTTGACCATAAACCAACTGTAGAACCTTCTGTTGACATGGTCGTTAATGATTTCTGCTCACGTCTCTTCATTATTTTGTTCATAGAACGTGATAAACTGCATCATAAATCAAGTTATATATGGATATATATCGAACCTCTTAAAGTTGAATAGAATAAATTTTGGACAGCGATCAACTATGAGAGGAGCAGTGACTATAATGATCAATGGTAGTAAGATTTCAATTCATCGTTTTATTGCGACAACGCGTTTCGTGTGGTCAAAGAATGGCCACACTCATCAGGCAATATTCACGAATGACCGTTGAATTACAAGAACTGGCAATAAAAGCTAACTTGGGGTTGCTATGGTATTTACAAACAGTTGCTATAGTAATTGTAACTACGGTATATATATCGAACCATATGCGTTGACTGAAGTAGCTTTTGTCAACGTGCACTAATAATCAATAGGAAATGTGTACATGACCAGTCAAAAAAACCTGCTTTCCTTAATTCTCGTTATTAAAGTATTGTTATGATTGCTATTTTTTTTAGAAAGCATTACAGACAGTGACAATGATGGAACAGAAGATGACGTCATTACTGATGAAGATGACGATGGTTGGGAGTCTGGTACTAGTGGACCTAGTTACATGGAGGACTTTCCAGATGGGTGCTCTTCTGTGAGTGAAGAAGAAGAACCTGACTCAGCCCCCATAACAAGCGACACGTACATCCTGTCTGAACGCAGCCACTGCATTGACGACCCGAAAGTCCAAGATTTTGACAATGACACCTTTCTTTTGGAAAATGGTGAATTGACAGAGAAATTTCGAAATAGAGCTGGTAGCAGCCCCAGCAAACTCGCCCAAGACTCATTGGAAGACGCTAACGGCTATCAGGACAAACACCAGAATTCCGATGAACGCGTCTGTGATGCAACTTACATCATTGGCAGTTCTACACAGCATAAACCTCTGAGAGATAAAGAACCGTCCAATGTTTATAAGAAGCCTGTGTCTGTTGTGCAGCCTTTTATTACTTCAAATGCAAAATCGGTAGACGTTGCGTCATCTTTCGAGAAGACGTCTTCATCTAGCGAAGATTATTTTAACATCAAGGCCTTTATTACGCGTCTGTCGATGAATATAAGCCACGCTTCTTGTTCGGGCAAGACCTGTTCCCGTTCGAAGGCTCTTAAGCTTAAAAGAAACAACATTGACTATGGTGAAATGAATTCATCACCCACGAAAAGAAGAAGTATAAGCCTCTGTAAGGTGCCTGGATCACTGATTCGTGACGAACAAGGCTCAGATATAGATGGGTGTCCGATGGATTCGCCGATCAAGTCCCCCTGTACCAGAGAACGGGCTACCTTATCCGGTCATCGCAATGCTCTTTTGCTTCAAAACCCTGTATCACCTGAACAACCATCAAGGTCTTCTGGTACTCTGCGTCGAAGATCATCACAGTTATTAATAGCAAGCGATGATGCAATTTCACGTGATTTAAAATTTATGGAGGAAAAGAAAAGAGAGTGCTTGACGCAGAAATCAAGTCCTAAAAGGAAGAGCCAAGTCTGGCGGGGTACGTTTCTTAAGGAGAGAAATATTTCTCTTAACTATTCACCGGCGACAAAACAAAGGTCGAGAGATTCTACACTAGAAACGTCATCTCCACATGATTCGTCAGAGACGTTGTTGAATTGTAGACCGGAGACAGAAATCACTCGCTCTTCGATACACAATAATTTAATTCCAAAGTGTAATTTTATTTCCAATCAACAAAATTCAGTCATCTTTCAAGAAAGTAATGGAGCGGTAATGGATAAATTGAAAGAATGCAAAAGGCAAGTGGAAGCTAAGCCAGGTGCTGCTTTCAAGAGCAAGCAAGGGCATAAGCTTTTGTGTTCAAAGGATGGAAACATTTTTAGTTCAAGTTCCCATGGGACGCCTGGTAAGGCAAAGCCTTTGACAAAGAAAAGCGATTTTAGTCCAACCGAAATGAGAAATGGTAGGGGTCGTAAGGTTTTATGCAAACGGGGCATGGCTGTTAGAACTGAAAAGTCGGGCGAGAAATCTTTGCCCTTGTTGGAGAATTTCACTGATGATAGAGACAAGAGAAACAGTCTGAGTAAAGCTGTTCACAGTGGGAAACATCACAAACGGGAGATAAGCAGGGCTTTTGATGAGTTCATGTCTACTAATGATCGTTCTTTCGGGATGCAGCCTTTCACTTCAGCTTGCAGGAAGGATCTGGTAACAAAGGAAAAAGAACAGAGAACTTCAACATTGTGCAGTTCTAGTTCCAGAGGGAGAGTGAAAAATAGTATTTCACTGCCAGGTGATCTACAGTGTATTAGTTCATTCTCGGGTAGGTCTCCCGCGCGTAAGAGAACAGCAAGGGAGAGCGTTGCCTTGGAAACTCCGGACTTGTTGCCTAGGAAACAACCGAAAAGGGGCTCATCTGTGTCAATTTGTCTCCAACAAGGGCCGGCACCACATTTTAGTTCACAGTCTCTACACTGGCAGGAAAAAGAATCTACACCAATAAAACGAAAGGAGTTAAAGAGGTTACGAGTTGAAGGATTCTCATCCAAAGACATGAAACTTTTGTCGCCAATCAGACGAGCTGTAGCGAGATCTTGTGATTCCAAGCTAGAAGGTCCTTCATCTCCTTGCAAAGGGCTTGGATCGTGTGACAAGTCATTCTGTTTTGAGTGTTGTTGAGTTAGACAAAACTCTTCAGAGTTGTTTGCCCCAACACATTGCCACTGACCAATTACATTTTTAAGCAAAATATGGGAATGGTGAAGAGCGCGGGGAAAAGTAAGTTGCGCGCGAAGCGTGGGCAAAAGCACATAGTTTGGGAGGAAACCACAACTAGCTCGGAACCAGAGTGAGAGTGCGGGAACAGGGAGCGTTTTAATAGTCTTTTTAAACAGTGCCGAAGGAGCTTGTGAATATTTTAATTCAGAGAATTTTTAAAATATCTGTATATTTTATTGGGAATGTTTGAAAAGGTTTGAATTTTTTTCACATTTTAACCTACTTTTAGAGCATTGACGAAACTCTTTTGGGCGATTTTATCTTTGATGACAGGTTGAAGCCATGACTTAATAATAATGACAGACTCTTCGATTGTGTGTCTGCGTCTCTGCATCTCTGTGAAATTTCTTAAGGAAGACATCAGCATTTTGCTTGATAAAAGATTATTACACCCATGTTTTCATAAAGATTTTCGTTATCTCAGCACAGACGTTCTCCTTTCCTAAGACAAATGGTTTATCCCTTGCTTCTTCTCAGGTTTGTTTTGGCCATCCTATATTATTCCTGAGTTTGCGAGACATTAACATGACCTTTGAACTGTCGCGCTTTACTAGACACTTGATGGGACGTCATTTGGTTAGTGTGCGTCCAAGTTTGGGCCTTTATTGAGCAGAGTTTAAGGGACTTTTTACGACGTTTTTTCCACCCTCCTAAGGCGGCTTACACAGCCGTTTTTAGTGTTGCGTGACGACACTAAAAACGGCTGTGTAGCAGACTGAAGGCGGTTTGGTGAGTTCTAATGTAGCCTGTTTTCAGGATCCAAGTTAATAGGAAAAAGGGAATAGAGAAAACTGGCGCGAAAGCCTCGTCGGGGCTGGGGAGCGTTGAGCGTCTATCACTCGCTCGCTTTTCCGCTGCCCACCGGTCTTTTCGCTCATTTACGTTGAACGAGAATCTCGTACAGGCTGGTTCAAATGGGAACGAAGCAACTATGTCACGCAGTCCTTTTGTTTCGTCACGCAAAGCTCCTCCTGAGGAGCGTGACGAGACAAAAACGGCATCATAGGAGACTATTTACAACTGCAACCCTACACTGTTGAAGTCCTGTCAGTGTCATTTTGATGTCTCGCAAGGCACAGGTCGCAACCAAAAAGGATAGTAAGCATGTGGTATTGATCGTAGAAACAGAAAAGTTTTATTTTTCTGCTCAATTCAGCAGTTATGCTACCTTTTTATTGACGACTTTACATTAACTATTTAGTGGTAAATAAAACATGTACAATGGTTTTACTCAAAAAAAGTGCCTTGGCGCTTTGTAAGTTTTTGCCCTTATATTCATTAGTGTAAGGGCAACGCTTATTAAAAACTGCTCATGGCCGAATGACACAGTACCACCTAATCTTTCTTTCTTTCAACAGCATAGCAACAAAATTTGTTCAAAAAGTTATTTATCCCCCCCTTGAGATAAAGTAAAAAGAAATTTCAATTGACTAAGCACTATTTCGTTGGTGAGAAAAAAAAATGTGTGTGGTAGGGTTCTTTTACTTAATACTCATAACTGTGTTCAATTTCACTTTCATCCACGTTGCACATTTCCCCGGCGTTCATTTCGTAGCCATTAATGAGCTCATTGCTGAAATTGTGAATCAAGGCTTCGAATTTCCTGCTTATTTCTGGAACAGCTAGCCCAGGTGGGAAGTTGCAGGTAACGATATCAGGCGGCGGAAAAGACACTACGGCATTGTGGTAGCATTCAACAAAGTCTTGAACACCTTTGCAAAGGTTCTCCGAAGTCGAAACCAGTTTCAGAGCACATTTCTGGTGAATAGCCTTAGCGCATGACAAAAGGTTACCTACAATGAAAGATAATAATGGTTACTGGTCATGATGATTGGTCAGGCTGGTTCATACGTTTACTGCAAACAGTAGCCACCCAATCGAGATACGCATGTGCAGTAGCCAATTCAAACCCCAGCCGAACTACCTACCCCTACCACCCCCCGGAATAATGGTAAGATCATGCGCATGACAATGTAAAATAATAATGGTTACTGGTCATGATGATTGGTCAGGCTGGTTCACGCGTCTACTGCAAACAGTAGCCACCCAATCGAGATACGCATGTGCAATAGCCAATTCAAACCCGAGCCGAACTACAATCACGTCCTCAGAACCTGTGTTATCCTTATCCAGTGGTCGAAGGTAGTGATCTTTGGTGCTTACCAAAAGGATGGCAGCCTCTTGGAACGAGATTGGCCGGACTACTGGTAAGATCATGCCAGCTGTACTGTGTTTATGATGTTCGGTCTTGGTTCAGATGATAGCGTCTTTCGACGGTAACGTGACGTGGTTGGCTTCGTCTCTGTCATCTTCGAATAATTCGTTTTGTTATAAGAGAGGTTAATCATCGCGTCTACGCCAAACGGTAGAGCGAATTTGTACCACGTGACCAAGTTTCGCCTTTACTTGTCGTTTGCTGTTAATCATTTCTACACATAAATCAGTGATTCACGCAATTTTTCATCCATAAGAATTATTCCGAGCTGTTTTTATGTGCTCATTTTCTATTTTTTCATCTTGAATCTGATGTTTGCCGTTTGCAGCATACGTGAAGCTTAAACTCACTATAGTTAATTCGAAGGGACCACACCACTGTTTGAAAAAAGTCGGAACGGGGTCTACCCCTACCTCTATTTTCACCTGGGTGGGTCATAGTAAGCTCATGAAACAAGGCAACGGCGGCACAAAGTGGTGTCTTTGTCCAAGCCTGCTGTTAATAAAAACGCTTAGGGTCACATTAGCCTCGCACCTTTTAAAAGCCTCTAATTTCATTGGACCCCTATATGTCACAGCTCTTTTGGTTTGGTGCTAAGTTCCATTGTTATCTTTGTTTTCACAACCAATCCCGTGGGGTCTTGAGTACACCTGTCCTTTTGGGAAGTTTCAGAAAATATGGCCGGACTGTGATTGGAGCCGATGCAATTTTTCTACTGTTTTTAGTCTGTTTAGCTTATTTGGATATACTCAGTGGCGGGTATTTTTCAAATCACGTGATCAAATTCTATCGTTATAACTGTACAAGAAGATCATAGGTTCGACTCCTGTTGTGAGCACACAGAGTTTTTTTCTTCTGAGCCGCCTGTGTCTCTGACTGAAAAAGCATATTTTCCAGTTTTTTGTTTAAAGGGTTAACAATTTTTGAATAAGGCTTAATGGAATATCTCAAAAGAAAAGAATTTTCCTTTAATGAACCTCTTCGAAATTAACCTCCCACGCAGGCTCTCTTAGGGCTTCGTCACGTGCTTTGGGGAAGGAACGCCATCTTCGAATTCCTTTTTTCGAGATAACCATTCTTCCCTGCTAGCAGAGGTCTCTCACGGAAAGAAAGGAAAGAGAGAGAGACTTCTGCCGGCCTCCGATGCATTTTCTATCACGCGTGCACTGGTGTTTCCTTACCAACCAGTAACGTTTTAGTCACTTGCGACACAACTTATAGAACCGGTCTGCACGATAGCAACTATGGGCTCACAAATTTCCAGCGTGCGGTCTCTAAAGGGTGCGCACATTCCACATTAAATGAAACGGGGTTAAAAACGGGGGAAAGGGGCCGTTTCAATCTCGTTCCTAGACTCTGGGAAGGAGATTGAACCGGTTTTTGAAAACCAGCAAGTTTCGACCACAAATGTAGTCAGTGGCTACATGAAAGAACACGTCGGAGACCGGCAGAGGTCTCTCTCTTTCCTGTCATTTTTCTCTTGCCGTAAGAGACCTCTGCTGAAAGGCAATAACCATCCACAACTTTTTAATTTACCTGGTATGACAACCCTGGCAATGCTCAAGTTCTTATATCTGTCGTCATTATCAAAACCTGCCAAGAAATTAAAAAAGCTGTGTCACGAAAGTTATCAAAATTCAAACCGCGAGAATCGCCATTAAACCGGGCGAATTATAAAAGAAACTGCTCCAAACATGAAAAGAAGGTATAAATAACACAGCAAATACAAAAGGCGGAGCGGATACTTCAACAAGATTGAAACGGATTTCAAATGGGGTTTTGAAAAGTTGTTAGCCAAACAGTTTTGCAGACTTCATTGTTGTACTGAAAAATTTGCTTCAACCAATCAGAAGATCTACCTAGAAGACAATTGCGCAATGACGTCATTTTGCTACAGCAACCATAATCCTTGGGTGGTTTCTTTTCTCATCCAAAATAAGGTTCATTGTATTCTGAAACCGGCGCACGGAAATACTAAATAGGCCATTTCCGAGTTCCTAAAACTCCCACTTTCAAAAAGAGGTCAGGTGCTAAACCTTTCTTGTGAAAATGAGTTTTATTTGCATGAGAATAAAAAATCATTTTCATATCAGCGTCTTCGCACTAAGCCTCGCTTTGAAAAGGAGGCTTGAGGTAACTCAGAAATGGCCTGTTTCAATAGGAAAGTGAAAACGGAACGAATTCTGATTGATGTAGTCAAATGACGTCATCGTAAACATAGTGTTAAACGTCGTGCGATAGGACCTGGAAAAAGGTGGGTAGGTGTTGCATTATGGCATTGCTTTGAGAGGGAAGTTTGACCCTCCTTCCTTCGACTAAGAAGTTTTTTCCACTTTCTCTCTCTTCACCCAAGTGTATAAATCGGTACCGGGGAAATACTGCTGGGAGTAACCCTGCGATGGACTAGCATCCCGTCCAAGGAGGAGTAGCAATGCTTCTAGGCATACATCATGCTAAGGAAACAGCGATAAGCTCCGGCCGTTTGGGCCTTTGGCGCGTGTGCCCCTTCACATTTTTTTTCTACCTTCCTTTGAATAGCTAGATCGTCCACCATAGTGCAATACACAACACCGCTGACCTCAAAAAGTGGCTAATGCGAGTCTTCAAGAAGGTCGTACAAAGTACAATATCGTCACGACATAAACTTACCTAACCTGGCCACCAGTCGTCTCAACAAAGTGGTGTTATAATTACAGATATGCTCCTTTTTACTTATCAGGATATACTGTAACGAGACAAAGACCCACTTTTGAAGCACTTCACTGGTACAGTTGAATGTATCCTCAAACTTCGCGGTGACATCTTCGGCGCATTTCATCAAAACCTTCATAAGTGAATATATTTGAAAGAGACTTAACTCGGCTGCTGATGAGTTAACGAAACGTAATAGACTAGTTAGTTAGCTGTTACCTACTTCAAGGAGCAACAGTGCGAAGGTATAGAAAGGGAGGATGGTGTTAGTTAGGTTTCAACATTCAGCGCCAGTGCTTTTACGTTCAGTCGCTCAGTGCTAATATAAGTGATAATGAGACAAACTGAAAACCCTAAAACCGTTGTCCAAATATAGGTCCTAGTTTACAATGTTGAAAAAAAAAACGCTGATTTCCGTTGTCTTTACAGTCTGTTTCAGACCCTCAGTAAACAGGACAGGACTTGGGGGAGAGACCATGCTCGTCCCATCTTTTTTTCTTTCCTCTCCTCTCTTGGAGCTTGGAACACGATATTGCCCCTACAAAGTTTTGCACGATAATTTCTGGCTCGCTAATACTCGCCAGCACACTATTTAAAAGGGTCAGTGGCGTTACAGAACACATTTGCGATGAAACTTGTCGATTTTTTGGATTTCAGGTTCGGAGAATGCGCAATTTGACTTTTTTATTATGTAACATCACTATCAATGATTTGTCCTACCCATTCCAATCTGCATGCGTTTTACACTGCACACTGCAAATGTTGCTGGAGGCTTAGAGATTTTGTAAGAGGTAAAAGATCAGGATGCTGAACGTGTTTCTAAATGTGTGGGAAAGTATCCTTCAAGGTGACGATCAGTTTAGTTATGAATCTCGAGGACGACGTGCGATTTCCTTGATTTTTTTCTGCATTATTCAGCGCGGGAGATTGTCTTGCTTTGCAGCTTACCTTCATTCCTTTGCAATACCGGTATCTTAAGGGCTGGTCTTCGTGTTCATTATAGTAGTTTTTTATGTTGCTGTTACATCTCTTCATAGCTCTCATGGTAGCAGTCCAATGTTCGTTTATGTCGCAGGTTGCTACGCGTTCCATTGTGACGAAACTGTTTATGCAAACCAGAATAGCGACACCAGAAAACAAAATAGACGAGAAATTCATTTTTTCTATTAAAAAAGAAAAGAAACTTACATAGTATCATTCGTTGGATCATTGCAACAACTTAACTAGGAGATTGCCTACGGATCCTAAAATACTGATGTCATAATATTTCCGTCCCTCGAAGACCCAGAAACTCCAAGGACACGATCCATATTTTGAAATTTGTAATTTTGTTTACCCACGGAGCACTTAGGAGTTCTTAAGAACTCGTTGAAATTGTGTGTTCCAGATCGAATTGGACTAGGAGTTGTTGGTTTTTGAGGAGAGGGGAAAATCGGAGTAACCGGAGAAAAACCTCTCGGAGCAAAAGAGGGAACCGACGACAAACTCAAGCCACATATGGCGTCAACGCCAGGATTCGAACCTGCGCCACATTGGTGGGAGGCGAGCGCTCTCACCACTGCGCCATCCTTGCTGCCCATCAGAAAAGAGCGAAAATATTCCACATTGATAATGAATCGTGGAATTCTCGTGTTTAATGAAGAAGATGAATTCTGAGATTTCATTCAATTTTCAACCAATTCGCTTTCATGCTGTTTTCTTTCTTTTTTTTTATCCCACGGTAAGGTGATAATCAATGATAGAGGGATTTCAAACAACGCATCGTAACAATCTAAAAAACTATATATTGGATTTTGTTTCTTATTGTTGTTTGTTTCTGGAGGACTAAATTAGCCTGAGAAAACAGGCAACATTTCGCGACGCCACCACTGGTTTCCCCGCAAAATGACGTCTGAGAAACGAGTGCAGAAATTCCATACTGATGACGTGTCACTACCCAGATCTGGGTTGTGCTTCTGATTGGTCGTGTCGAGAGAAATTTGCCTCAACCAATCTGAAGCGCTACCCAGATCTGAATATACTAACCAGACCAGTATCTAATCGAATTTCCGTAGTCGTTGCTCAGACGTCTTTTCGCGGGGCAACCAGTAGTGGCTTCGCGAAATGTTGGTTGTTTTCTCAGGCTATATGACTAAATCAAAATTAAAAGAATTTCATAAATAAAAAAGGCTGCAAAAAAATTGTTTCATCTGTCAAAGGCCTGAATCTGAACGTTCGCTTTTCAAAGTCTTCTTTACAACTTCAGAGAAAACCTTGGGACTGGAAGCGCAATTTTTAAGAAGAAGATAGAGTGGTTAGTGAGAAGCCTCTCATACAAAAATTAATTACCTGTTGAAAGTGAGATGAAAGTCCTATTTAAAAGTATGTTGCGAAATTCCGAACCAGCTTTTTGCCAGAGCTGAACATGCTCACTATAGATGTTAAAGATGGGATTGATATTAATCATCATCTTGCTTGAGGTAAGGAAATGATTAAGACTGTTGCTCATATATAATATAATAAATATGTGCACTTGACATACAGTCAGGGAGGGTTTTTCGGACTGAATTGCCCCTTGTATTATCATATAGAATGAACATAACAAAACTTATTACCAACAAAACTTTATCAAAATGAGGTTCATTAGTAAACATAAGTAAACACAGTTCTTCGAGTTGAAGTAAATCTTTTTGCTTGGGTGATGTCTTGAGGTCATATCAAAAAAAGAAACCACGACTAGCGAAGCGCGATCTCAGGGTTTACATGGACAGAATTATCAGTTAGTTTTCAATTGACGTCTGGCAAAAGAAGCAACAACAACGAAAATTGACATCAAAAACAACAATGCAAATATGACTTTATTTTAAGATGTAGAAACTTTTAAAATAAGCTAAAGACCACGTGACCCGAAACGCATCGGCCGCGCGCAATAATAAGGCCTAGTGACTAGGCAAGGAAATAATGTCGATATTTAGTGGAATATGTATCCCGACTTATAGCGAAATTGGAAGCGTTTTTAAACCACCTTTCATATCAAGGTGTGAATATGATTATACATGATTGCAATTTAATGCGTTTCCGATTTGATTTGCACAGAACCGAACTGCGTGGAGTCACCTACAGTGTGAATTTAATGATAGGAAAAGCAGCTATGTTAATTCAGGTAAAGAGAAATAAAAACCGGCTAAATTAATACAGAATCAGACAATTCTTAGTTTTTGGTTTAGAGGTTTTTGCGGAAACTATTATCTGTGTGGGTATTGTTCACTGTGTCATTTCAGTGTTTTGTATGCCATTTGGTGATTGTACCCTTCCGCAAAGCAAGGAAACTATCCTTAAACTCACTGATCAATATGAAGTTCCTTTTTCTTTAACACAGAGCAAGAAATTTTTTCCTTGCGCCAGGCGATAACAATGTTAACACTGGGCAATTCTCTACACTCCTTTCAAAAAGGTTTTTTCTTTTTCAGAGCGAGCTCGAAAACAAAAATTAGTGAACTAGAATTTTCACTACTATGTTTGAAGGCTTCGTTTTCCATTTGGTCTAGAAGGAGGACCCATTGCGCTGTTACTTTTATTTGTACTACTGAATTTTTTCACTGTATCTTGATGTTGGTAGGCTTTTAGTCGTGTTTTCGCCATGGAAGCCATGGCGTTTGTACATTTTTAATTAGACGGCCGAAATGTCCGCTTTCAACGCCCGAATTGTGCATGCAGTAACAGTTTCAGTTCTATAGATGTGTACTTCTCCAATCACCATACCAAAACTTAAACCACATTTTAAGATAAAAACGTTAACAACTTCACCCTGAAAAGTGATGCAGCTCGCAGCTCCGGTTTGTTAAGTCTAAAATAATCAAGATTCTCACTCACCTATTTTCATTTGCGATAAATGCCCGTATTTACTCAGAAATGTACAATACTGAAAATTTAACTTCGCTATTCCAGCCCCAAATGAAGACCGCAGGGGCAACTAACACCTTTCTAGAAGGCAATTAACGTTGCTGTTTTTGAAAACATTTCGTCGCTAAAAATTATTACACAAGAGAAAAAAAAGAAAACAACAATTAATATATGTAACCGAGGAGCTATAATTACATCTCCCGTGGTCACTTATTTTATTGTAAATAAAAGCTTTCCGTTATTTGAATCTATGGTTGTTCAAAACACTCTTAAGTGGCAAGGTCAAACCGGGTTTTCATTCGTGAGCTGCTCATATTTTGTTAGTTAACTTCAGGGGCGTAGCGTGAGGTTTTGAAGATGTACGTACGGAAAGAAAGGTTGGACCTCCGAAGGTACTGCAAACAAGGGGAGTCTGGGCTCCCCCAGCCCAAATTTAAGGGCTCAGAAATGTCATTTCCTGCGTTTTCCGCAGGACATTTTCAGGAAATAAATACGAAGGAAAACGCAATAATTAGTTGTTTAATTTACATCTCTGGTGTTAAGTTATCGGCTGTTAAAGTGCACTGCTCACGGGAAAAAAGATAAGACAGTGAGGCCACCATGAAGGTTACAAGCAAAGGGCGACATGCCTACCCTTCGGACGGGTAAAGACACAAATATCATACAAAGATTTATCAATCATCCCGATGGAAAACGCTTTCAGGAAATAAAAATATGTCTTTTCCTGATTTCACCTGTACGTACGGGCGTATGCGCGTATATGGACGCTACGCCCCTGAATTTGTAATTATTATTGAACTTATTTTATCTTTGAATTGTCCATTCCCGACTTCCAGAAACCCTCACTTTGGAAGCGAGGGTAAGTGCAAAAACTTTCTTGTGAAAATGAGTTTCATTTGCATGAAAAAAAAAAAAACATTTTCCCATTAATGGCCTCGCACCTAGCGTCGCTTTGAAACAGAAGCTTAGGGTAACTTGAAATGGTCTATTGGAACACGTCGCCAGCAAATTTCAGTTTTTGTCAAGAAACCAAAGAACACCATTAACAGGAAGCATTCTGGCCTCAATAAATCCTAATGTCAATGTTTTAGATCATCAAAACGGGGAAATAGATCGCTGAATAAACTACCAACTGAAGACGTTCGTTTCCTTCCTGTTTAATATCTTTGAGCTCTCTATGACGTTTTTTTTCAATTCACTCTTACGTTTTAACAGCTTCTCTTTCTTTACTTAAGGAAAATCACCAACTACTCTGGGTGTTTCAGACTGAAGAATACACCCACATGAACTCAAAATCTTGAAATTTAAAGAAATATTTTTATTATGTTCTTTGCTTGGAGATCTGGAAATCGGCTCTCCTGCTTCTTTCAATCTTTGCAACCGTAGGGAAGTTCTCACAACTTGAGTTTTCTGATAAGCTGATAAGTAATTAAACATCCAGTTGCAACGTGTATTACCCGGACGTTTTTAGATTGCCTGCAGTGCAAAATACCAACATCATCAACATCATCATCATTCTTCTTATTATTATTATCATGATGGATAAATTTAAGGTTTCTGGGTAACTGATCCTTTAAGTTAACAGAAACACTTACTTCTCACTTAGGGCAAAATTGTGTAATACTAATTCAGCAGTTCAATTTGGTTCAAATCCTGTTTAGGATAGAACTAAGATCCTTTTTAAAATCCTGTTTAGGATCCAAGATCCCGTTTAAAATCCTGTTGCGAACCAACCAAGATACTGTTTAACCCTTTAAGGCCGAAAATTGATCGGCATGAAATTTCTCCTTATAATTTCAATGCTTTAGAAAAACAGAGTGGTCATGAGAATTGAGTACATGATCAGGGAAGATGAGTCTAATTGATCTTTCAACAAATTCTTCCTACTACTTTTATTGAAAATGTTTAGGGACAACAAACGAGCTGAATTTGCATTTTGATATTAGGGTTTCAAGGGTTAAAAAATCCTGTTATATTAGGATCCAACCAAGATCCTGTTTTAAATCTGTTATGGTCCAACCAAGATTTTGTTTAAAATTTTATTAAGATCCAGCCAAGATGGGATATTGTTCAAAAACCTTATGTAAAGATCCATCTAAATTAGGATTACGTTAACATTGTTTTGCAAGTATACAAGTATTTCTTTTGCAATAATACCGATAGACGAAATCTGCTTCGAACTGAATTTGACATTTGCAACCGAAAGGAAGCTTCGAACTTGTGAGAAATAAAATTTGTTTGTTTGAAAGATGTATGCTCTCCTTATGATAATCAATAAACCACCGTAAAGTTTTGAAAAGGATTCATTTTCTGTATCGGCGAATTTTCTCTCTTGTTTACCAAAAGAGAAACCACGTGACATAGCTTTTATCCCATCCACCCTCAAGCGCTTGCACAGATGGCGGGTGTCATGAATAAGGTCTATTGCGAGAGGATGAAGCGTATCTCTGTGTGAGGATTAGCTGAACATCTGATTGTCACGAGCACCAATATGCCCGCCATGACATCATGTGAAAACGCCCCATTGAAATTTGCAATACCGCTGAGGTTTTAATAACAATGGCCCTAACCTTGGGGCCTGTTTACATAGAGGTGCAGGACCCCAGGTAGTTGAGGTAATCCGCTTATGTGGGGTAGCGATTGCCCGCGACAATTCACTCTTTGATGTTCTAGTCGCCTGTACTAACTTTATTGAGCCTGTATGGGCACTGACTAACGAATGTTTTAAGGGTTGCTTTTAGAAACAGCATTCGCATCAATGATTATATTTTGTCATTATCGTTTATAACCTGTAACAATGTCATCGCCTTTATCAATCACCGTCATCAACGACGCAGCAACATCTCTACTCTTCTATTACTTTTCTTGTTTAACACTACAAGACGCAATAAAGCCAACAGTAAAGCCGCCTTATTGAAAGACAAGACTGGCCTGCTGATACTTGCGCTACAGAACACAAAACGCCTTTCTCCTCATAACAGGCGCAAAAGAGCAGTGTACCAAAAGTAGTTCTTGGTCTGTAATTCTCTCCGTATAACAAAACCGACATCCTTGATAAAAAGGGTCTAGAAGACGCTTCAAACTTCATCTAGCGAGTTAGTTTTTAGACCACTAAAGTCAAGAGCACTAGCAGAGACGGAAAGAAAGGGCTGAGTTGTCTTCAGCACGTTTCCCTTTACACGACGGCGTATTGTTGGTACAACAGTTCCCGGATCTTGTAATAGTCGTCACAAACGGCTCCTTCCAGGCCCACCCGGCCAGTCTCGTTCTGAAAAAACGGCAAGAACAAAATTAGTCGAGAAGAGCCGTTATTTGCACGAGAAAACAATAAATAAATTACAGTACTCCGGAATCTCTCTAGCTACACGCCTGTGTGTACCCTTCCAAAACCTCAAGCAAGATTACAGAAAGTAAGTGACAGTCGTAGTCATGGTATCTCCTCGGGCAAGAATTCTTCATTTTGCCTTTACAATGTTATTGACAGAAAAATCGAACCCAGGATATTGGCTGATATACGACTTCTGCAGCATGTATTTTCCAAAATATCGATGGGCGGGTAATAACTTACTGTAATTTTCAGGAAAATAAAATCCAATTATGTAATCCACTAGGCTGTATCGAGAAAGTACTAAGGTTTTTTACTCACTCGTCTAACTGCTACGACATTGTTACAGATCAAAACACCTCCGGCAAATTCCGCTTGTATTCCAGCCTTGTTTAACACCTGCTTAAAATCTGACAAGCGAGGCTCGTTGATATAAACTGAAGTGTGTCCGGTGATCTGGGGAGAAAGTTATTAAAATAACATATTATTATTATCAAAAGTAGGTTGAGTTTGATCGTCCGGGTGAAGGTAGTCCTGAATAGGACTGTTGTTGTTGACAGTGACTGACGTTTCGACAACCTGTGCGATAGTCATCTTCAGAGTCAAAGTGAGTTGTATCACTTCAGTTGATGGTATTATACTCTGGTTATTGATCTGATTGGTCAATTACGTCGCGATTACGTCAATCAGATCAATAACCAGAGTATAACACAATCAAATGATGTGATACAACTCACTTTGACTCTGAAGATGACTACCGCACAGGTTGTCGAAACGTCAGTCACTGTCAACAACTACGTTCACCCGGACGATCAAACTCAACCTACTTTTGAAATAAATCCTGGGTTCAAACCTTTCACAGTCATACTATTCTTGTGCTTTAGACCGACTGGTGATTGAGTTGTACCAGCGATTCAGCAATGCTCAAGTACTGAGTTCGCCGTCTTTCTTGGTGGCTCTCTCTCCTTCATATAGACTCCCGCTGGGTATTCCAATAAAAATGGCAACGATTAAAAATATGCGCAGGATGGACGATGAGAAGACGGAAAAGGCGAGAAACTAGCACCTGTCTTCCTCTCTTTCCCCTTCCCATCGTCCCCCGCGCGCTTTCTTTTTCTTTCTCCTTCGCCTCCTTATGATTTGTCTGCAGACAGCCCCAGAATTTCTGAATTTGCTTCAAACAGCAGAAGTTGCCAGTAAGGTGCTCCAAATAAAGCAAAAGTTACCAAAAAGGTACCGAGCAACTTGTGGCTGAGACTATCTGCGGAGGCAAGAGCGTGAACACTACTCAGTGTCCCTGAGGAAAAATACGGTCTCCTCGTAGTTAATACTATTGGTGAGTTTCCCAAGAAGGCCTGAATGAAACTGAAAAATCTTGAACCTACTAGCACATTGATTACCATCTTACCTGAGAAATCGGAAGTTGTTCCAGCACGGGCACTGTGTCCATTGGCTCCTCTTTACTACCACTTTGATTAGTCTCCATCTTCTCCTGACCCTCCTCCTCGTCACGCAACTCGCCATCTTCAAGAACCAGCCCCACGTGTGACTCCGAAGCATTAATGTGCAGTTGTCCATCCACCCACGCCAGTTCTGCGTCACGCGCACGAGAAAACTGTAACGAACTAACAAGAGCGTCACGCAACTTGACCTGCAGGAAAAATAATCACGCACATTTTGAGAAATTGACTAAACAACTGTCCGTAATAATGAGGTTTCCGTATTAAGCGAGTGTCCGTAAAAAGGGGTCCGACTTTACCTGGTAAATGTATCTTTCGCCAGTGGAGTCCACAGTTTCGCCACATTGTGGAGTAAAAATCTGATTGACCTGAATGCTGCTGCTCTCTTTGCAGTACTCAGCTAAATGTTCTGTGGCGTCTGCGGTTCCGTGCACTAGAATCTGTCACAAATGAAGGTGAAGGTTGGTTAATTAAAGGAGCTGTGTCACTAAATTTATCATGGGTTCAGTTTGTTCAGATGGAACAATTTTGAAGGCGGAATTAACTTACAAGATTCCTTGGGTTAACTAGTGAAAGAATTCTCTTGATGGACTCGCCATCTGAACGCCCTTCAAAGTCAATATGCAACAATGAACACCTGTAAAAAACACAAAGAAGCCAGTTCACTCCGTGAGCATACACCGCAAAGGGCCTTCAATAAATTCAGAAAAACCTGGCAAGATGAAGTGACCACTACATAAAAAAATGCTAAAGGCGAGTGTAAAAGCAAACTTCATGCGCATTTTGTTCATTCATCAAGCTAAGAATAATAAATTCTTATACGATGACTTACACTAATGTTAACGTACGAATGATTAGGCCCCTTCCACATGAATTCCGACATTTTTTAGTTCCACATATTTTTTTTTTAACCAATCGGCCTTCCGTCCACACAAAACCAAATAACTCGCTCACCAAAACCGCATCTTTTTCAAAGCGCTCACCAGATGTGTGTATTTTGGATCCACATAACGGATTTGCGAATTCGTGTAGACGATCGAAACGGGATATTTTCGAATTCAATTCAGGTCCCGTTCTCACGAAACCGGTCGTTTCTGAAACCGGACATGTTGTTACCCGGATTCGTGTAGACGGGGTCATACAGTGTTTTTACCGGGATTTCGTACATTGGGGTCAACAGGATTCTGTTTACACGAATCCGGTCATTTTTGAAATCGCAAATATTGTTACCCGGATTCGTGTGAACGGGGTCCTTACAGTGCTCTTACCAGGATTTCGTACACTGGGGTCCACAGGCCCATAGAGAAGCTAAAAGGGGGCCGTGAGGGTGATGGAGAAAAGTGGGTCACAACTTTTAGATGCAGTCAGCTCAACGTTGTCACAGGTCTGAGTCTTAGAAATTCTTGGTGTTTTCTAAAGACGCCATAATCAATTAAATTTTGGCTTATATTACAAGGAAATGTACGTATGGTTACGTAAGTTTAAGTACGTTTTGTAATAGGTTTTTTCCTTCTTTGCACCCTTGGGAACCCTCAGGCTAATTATTATGGTGCGGCATTTCCCGAAAGAGTGTGGCAATGCCGCAATGCAGTGGTCTGGTAAGAACACTGGTCCTAAACCACTGGAGAGCGATTTCAAAAAGATGCGTTTTCAGAGAGCGGATGTAGATGTGGCCTGAGGCCCTGCCCGTTCTCCTTAGTTACCTAAGAAGAGCACTGTAGTGAGTGTGAGAGGATAAAGATGCTCACCTGATGTTTAGCTGCCGTCTGTCAACTACACACTTTGTTGGTACTTTGGACATTTCTCCTACAAACACACGAACATACAAATGCGTTCAATACAAGAAAATGTACCAACATTTGCGCCCAATCAAGGAAAATAAGTAAATCCGCCCCCTTAGAAGCCACATACACATACCTTGTCCAGCAATGGCCTCAGATTCTGCAGCTTCCTTGTTACTTTGTTCCTGTAGTTGAAGAAGAGCAATTCATTAAGTTGGGAAGAGAAGAGAGATAGTTATTGATTCAAAGCCTTTCTCACCGCTTTAGCTTTTTCTTCTTCTGCTGCTTGTAATTCCCTGATCATGAAATCTTCAGGTCTGTTAAAGAAAAAATTGAAATTAAGACTTCTCAAAAAGCCAAAAAGTTTTAATGACATTTTTTCGGGTAAAGACGTGTTGGTAAAAATAATCATAAGCTTTTTCAGGTTTAAACTTCACAGACACCCCCATACTACAGGCAAGGATAGACAGGTCCCATAAACGCCATAGTGAAGAAAATACAACTTAAATTACATGTCTCTCTCTAAGAGCAGGCAAGATGAAGCAAATCCTGAGTTCTGATGGGATGCCCAAGGGGGCAAGGTAAGTCTATCGTGTCTGCTCGCGCTTACCCACTTTGTCCTGCAGAAACAGCCTGGTCAATAATGCATATCCGTGATGCACAGACACCCCTTTTTTAACATGAGTTTGGGCTGCCTGCGCTCGGACAGACTGCTGACAACAGTGATTTAACTGATCTATATGCATAGCTATTTATCTTTTTAATCTGTTGGGAATGGCGATAAAGTTTGTTTTCACACTAAAGAGTAATTAAACATAGTGAATTAACTGTAAAAATGGCTCTTTTGCTGAGGTGATGTTAATGAAATCTAGTTTTGGTACTCTGTTCTGTAGCAGGAGCCATAATGAGACATCATGGCTCCTGTCTGTACTAAATGTAAGTACACACCTTATAAACTCTCCATAATCATCCCACTTTATCTTCTCTTCATGACAGGGGAACATAGGATATGATCTTGCCTGTTTAAAAAAACTACTTTTCCGACCACCCTGAAGGAAAAAAATTTCAAAGTAGAATAATGTAGTTAACAAGTTTAAATTCCTACCAATATTCTTTCAGATATTCTGAAAGAACAATGTCCAAGACACCTACCTGCCAAAAATTAGCATTTCGGGGTAAATTGTCTTGAGATATTAGCCCGGTTATTTGTATGGAGTCATCACAGCATAACTGGGCTAATAGAGAGTTTTAGATCCGAGTTTACCGCAAACCTCTAACCGCGGTTTGCGGTTACCCGTTTGCGGTTCGACGTTCAAACATAATTCGATTTAGATTGGTGGTGGATTAAATTACGGCAGCCATTTTAAATCAGCAGCCATGAATGGCACTTGTTTTCAAGATCCAATAGGATTTATCAAATTTAGCATTTCGCCCGAATTTGTGCCTCTGTTAATGGATAAAGACTTGCTCCAAAAGATTTTTGTATCATTACGTGGGATGAAACAAGAATTATACGCTAAAATCTTCCAGGTAAATGACATACGTGAAAACCTACCTCCCCACGTTGAAAACGCACGTCGTAAACCTCAAACGTGACGTGAAAGACTTGTCACGTGACCTCCAGCGGTTAGAGGTTTGCGGTAAACTCCGATCTAAAACTCTCTAATATCTCAGAGACAATTTGCGCCACAATGCTAGTTTTTGGCAAGTACATGTGTAGGCCTCTTGGATGTTTTTCTTTCAGAATATCCTAACAAATCCCATAATTTCACAAATTTAATTTTTTATGATGTCACACTTTAGAACTCTATGCTGGTCCCGTGTTTACGGCTCTAACCCCTATGCCCATTTTAAGCCATACCTTTTCATCAGCCATCATAAGATCATGTCTAACTCCTCCTTCTAAATCTTCATCGCTATCACTATCACTTTCCTCTCCTGTCAAATGGTGACTGAAAACAAAAATTTCTAATCAGCTGTGATTAAGGTTTGTACTATAAATTAACCTGAAATTGATTAAACACAGAACCAACAAATGACCTAGCCAGATGACAAATGTCTTGAGGTCAATACGTTCACATGTCAACTAACTGTACTGGAAGTATTTTGTTTGATTATTGATTGTAGGAGTCAAAAACAGTGTTTTTTTTGTTATGATTCTTCAACTGCTTCACTCACAAGGGAGTAGTGTATTCAAATAAAATTATACGGAATAATGTATTCATTATTTCAGAACTGCAATAGCTGGAAGGATTTATATATTGCAATGGTCACATCTCCTTATTTGCCCATTGTAAAAGATACAATGATTACATCAAGGACCTCCGGATCTTCTGCTATAATGTGGGGTCATTTTATGAAGAAAATGTTTCCCACCTATAAGCTGTATACATGCTTGACATAGTCACACAGACAAAAAAACAGGGTTTGCACTATGTTTTAATAATGATCCTAAGTCCTTGTAAAAAACATGTCTTCATACATGGTGAGCAATGCTAGAGAACAGAACAAGACAAAGACAAGACAAAAGGAGAAAGTATGTCATGGTAAATGCAAAGTAAGTCGTGGTAAATGCACAGCCAGCTGCGCTGCTGTGAAGCTTGACAACAACTTATCATTTGGCAATCGATTTTTAAAGTGTACTTTGTCAACACCAGTAGGTTCTTTAAGCAAATTGAAGAAACGCATATCATATTTTATTAGTATTACCCAGCCAGAAGAAGAAAAATAGCCCATAAAAAACAACACCATAAACTACAAGTACCTTCTGTCAGTGGCTTCAGTTGTTTGTCGACTCTTTTCCTTTTCCTTCTCTGCTTCCAAATATCTTTCAAGTTCTTCTCCTTCCAGCTTCACTCTTGTTTTCACCTGTACTCCAAAACAATAACAACCAATTAAAATTATTTTAGTAACTGAAGAGTTTTCAGGGTTTTCATTAGGCAATGGAGATTGGAGAATTCTCTGTTTAAAACACAGAATTCTTCGACTGACGTTCTGTAGCCTATGATTATTTTTTATTCAGACATGGAGCCTCTTTCAAAATATTCTCCTGTAATGTTACACCTTTCTCCTGCTACTAGGCTTCTTAAATATGAAAACCCTGTGTTTTCCGAAAGCTCCAGCAACCAGCAAAAAAAATTGCTGTCTAGTTATCACAGAAACACCGGCTAGTCACAGCAAATAATCTTAAGGTGTGAAAATAATTCTAGCTCTACCTCAATGTCAACTGCTTTCAGCTGTAAGTTTTCAATCAAAGTCCGAGCCAGTGTGCCAGGTGATGGTCGACAGGTGAATACTACTGTATTTCTGGGTTCCTCTGCCCACTTGATGAACAGTTCTCGTGAAAAACCACATGTCAGGTCTGCTACTGATGCTAGAACAACTTTTGGTTCTGAAATTTTGGCAAGGTCTGCCAAGCTGTGGCATAATTGACAGTGTCTGCAAAATAGAACATAATTAACAATAGAACAACTTACTAATCAAACAAAACAAAACAAAACAAAAGAACTACCATGCCCATGAACATGGTGTACAAACCTGAATTGATAAGGGTTCATTCGACCAATTTCAAAAGACTTCATGACCTTGTCACTCATCCATTCAACCTGAAGAAGGACAAAAATAAAAATTTCTCTACATGATTTCTGTGTTGTCAAATGGGCTTATATAGTAACTTGGCCACCCCAAAAAACATCATTCAAAAGCAAATTTTTTGAGCACTGGGTCACTGTCAGTGATTTTCACTCTCCCATTGAAACAGTGACACAGTTTCTTCAAAAACTAAACCCTTAATATTATAAGTTGTTTCTTGGTGTCACTACAGTCTGCATGAGTACCTCTATAATTTGGAGAAAGGAGAATTCTATCACCAGAGAGATCGAAAACAATTCTGACCTCCAGGTGAGAATCGAAACTCGTGACACTCCGAGTTCTAGTTCCATGAGACATGTGAACTCAACATACTGCAGCACTAAGGAAACAATGTTTTCCTTTCCTCACCTGTGACTTGGCAAACTCTACAACATTGTAGCTCACATTGTTAAGCATTGCAAGGGAATATGCTGCTAATCCTGAATCAGCATTACGCCATAACTGATCCTATAATTTTTAACAGATTATCAATAGGTGAATCTTTGCTGATGTTATAGTTTACATCTTTTTTCATTAGCATGCATACCAACTAAATTCAAAAGTTGAAAGAGCTGATACTTGAGCAATTTTGCAATTTTCTGCTCTTTGCAAGCAATATAGAAGGAAATACCAGCCATCGAAAACTGCAAAATTGCTGGGTGGCAAAAAAGTTAATAAGCCATATATTCTTTGTAAAATTTTGAGTTTTTAAAAGAGAATTTCTCCGCAACCATTCAGTATATTGGCCTCAAATTTTTCAGATACATGCATAGCTGAAATTATTATGCTCTCTCAATATTCAGCGGTTGTATTTTATTAGTTTCATCAGATAATGATGAGCAGATGTTAATGAGGCAAAAAATGTAAAAAAATATTTGCCTATAAGGAAATACAAAACCTACTTAAAGCCTTATGTATTCCTTAACTTGTTTTGTTGAAAGCATCTAAGCATAATGTAATTAAACTATTTAGGCTCAAAATATACAGAATATATGTTTTCAAGGTCATGAAAAAAAAAAAAAAGACAAATCCCAAAACGATAACTCTTTTTGACACTAGGCCATTTCTTCTGGCCATCCCTTAATTGCATAATTTTTATTTCACGCACCATTTTTTTATGCTTGTTTGGTCAAAATCTGCTCAAAACTTAATAGGAAACATTTTTGTCAAAATATAACTTTTAATTTCCCAAATGCCTGTAAATAAATATTTTAAATGGTAAACAAAAAGACAAACAACGTTGATCATTGAAGAAAAAAACAAAACAAAACAAAACAAAAATTCCAACATTATTACCAGTAGCTGAGATAACTCTTAACGTGCTAAAAAACACTGCTTCCCAGCTGTATCCAATTGAACAAACTAATCAGTAAATTGCCAAATAGTTTTTTCTGGCTGGAGAACAAGACATGCTGTTGATTTCTCCATTTTAATACAGACCATCGATTCCGAAAGGAAAAGACATCTTCAAAAGTTTAGATCATAGGACTCTTAGTTAAATGAAAAAACGTGCGCTGAGCGAATGGCAGTCTTTTTGTGTTAATTGTACAAGAGGTGATTCTGTGGATTCGTACAATGTACCACATAATTATCATGGACAAGAATCAAAAGAATAAAATAATGTCTTCAACGCAAACATTTAACAGGACTGGTTGGAAACAGCAAAACAAAATGTTTAATGATAGATCTTATGAAAAAGTGAAAACACACATTGAAGAAAATTGTAGATAAGATGTCTTAGACAGAAATTGGGAATGATTATAGAGCTTAAAAAACTTACTCATAAGTTGTGTGTCCCTTTCTCTCCTTCTGGCTTGTACATTAAGTGCATTAAAGCTATCTGTTATTAGCAAAGAAGGTCTGCTAAGGGTTTCCAGAACAGCTCCATTCAGGTGCCTTGAGAAAGAAGGGGTAAAAATACATGTACATTGTAATACTCATGGGTAGTTAGTGTGAGAGATCGTAAATGGTCACAAACCTACATATACGTTTCATCTGAACTTGAAATTTTTAAAGTGTTTCTGATAAGTTATAGAGTTTTTATTACATGTATTTTGACTTTCTTCTTGTCTTGGAGTGACTGGTGACTGCCATATATGGGTAAACGTTACATAGAATGTAAGGCAAAATTTTTAGGAAATTGTCCAGTGACTGCAATACACAGGGTGACCACTATTATAAAGGGCCACTATATACAGGTTTGACTATACTTATTCCAGTGTCTCAAAAACAAAACTACATGCAAGTCATTGCCCTTAACTTGAATTAGACAGCTGTTTTCACCACTAAAACACACCTCTCTTTCTTATGATTATAGTCCACAGCATAAATAATGTCCTCCTCTCCATCCTTAACAATCTTCCACATTGTACCACCAATCATATGTCCAGCAGCATAGGGTGTGATTGTCAGACCATGACCCTTTCCTAGAAGAAGCAAATAAAATTTTCCGCAATTTTGGGGGAATTTAAATGTACATGATAGACCTTTTTAGCTTGTACGTTTTTTCCCCAATTCAGACCAAATGACGTTCTGCAGGGAATTTGTCTTTTATCTTTTTATAAACAAGTATAACCAAAGGTTACGGAGACAATGATTGAAGGTCAAAACACTTTTGCTCCATTGCTGTACTTTGTGTAAGTTTCACGTGACAGATAGTCAAAACACACGTGATCAGATTACGAGTGATAGAAGGTCCAAACGCATCTAATCAAATCGCCTGCCATGCATTCCATTCATTCTTAGTGGAAGTCCAAATGACTGCTGTCTACATACATGCGAAACATGTAATAACAACCTGGAGATTAGGATTGCCGGCTCCTCTTGTCACCCACAATTGTGCATTCACATGCACATGGATGCATGAGTATTGGATAATATTTAAAAGAAACACTTCCCTGAGATACTGCTATGTGGTTTGAAATAGGAAACAGAACATACCAGCTAAGCAGGTCCGTACATCACAATGGTGATGATGTTACAGTTGGGGCATGAAAATTGGGTCTTGTTAATTAGGCAGTGTCACATCGTGATACTAAGCCTTTTGAAACTATGCAATGAGAAAATTCTGACTATTACTTGATGAGGTCCCTGTAGTTCAAATGTTGGATAGTTCTATCCAATGTTGAATGGATAAATCATTACCCAATTCACAAGTATCAGGATTCGGGAAAGCCAATACAATATTCATTGCATACTATGTAGCTGTTGCTCGGGGGTGTAAGAGGGTTAATTTTTGCAGGGTAGGTGCCCCTGGCCTCCAAGAGGCCCTTACCCCATTATAGTCTATTCTGTGTCCAATAATTATTATAGACCCCATCTTAGTCACTTTTTGGGCAAATGTAATTTTCGAGATCCCAACTTAGTCACTTTCAATTTTTGTGTCTATCTTATATTGAATGAAGAGCAGTTTACTTTTCACCTACAGTACATACATTCTGGTATGTTTGCTAACCGTAAATGTGAAAAACTTTCTTACCCCCAAAATCCGAAAATGTGCAACCCCATTCTAGTAACTACCTTGAAAATGTAACCCCATTATAGTCAATCCAGTCATGAAAATGCAACCCCATCCAGCGGCACATCCCCATTAGCCTCTTATCAGGAAGTACCCCTCCCCCGCCCCCTCCAGGCTATTGCTATCCATCTTTTGAACAACTTACTCCTGATGAGTATCACACAATCAGTTGAACATGTAACTGTCAAAGGCAAAACTGACTCTAATGTTTATCTGCTGTAAGGTGATTACCACTCATTAGGGAGCTAAAGCAATGACGACGGTGACGGCAAAGAGAATGGCAAAAAAGTAGTAGGTCTAGATTAGAACCTTGCACCTGCATTACGCACATTTCTTTGTAAATTAATTTTTTTTGCTGTCGTTGCATGACTAGGACGTGAAACTTCCTAGTTTTACATTTTGTGGAGGGCATCAACACAAGACAACAATTTTCTTTTTCTTTTTCTGAACTTAGATACAGTCTTTTAGAATCAACTCCAGAAGAATTCTACAACATATAACAAATTGTATGAAGTCAAACAAGAGAAATAAAGTTTGAACCAGTGCAAACTCACTTTCCAAGTCACATTTTTGCTGCCATTGCCGTCACGGTTGCTTACTCTTCCTATTATCTATTTAAACACTTTCAAAAATCTGTTCTTACAGTGTACATGTACCTTCTGGGCTAAGATATTTTCCTATTTCAGCTCCACTACGCAGTACAACATGAATTGAAAAACCATCAGGTTTATTTTGGCTGGATAAGCCAAGCACCGCAGATACATGTATAACAATACATTATACTACAACTTCTATTACATTCAAACATGTGGTACATAAACTAACAGTTTACAAACAATCCTGTCTGAATGGAAGCCAGAAAAAACCTTCCAGAAAGAAAAAAAAACAGAGCAGGGAAAAAACTTGGCAGGAAATCTGGGTAGGATCCAGGGCGCATACTGTGAAAAGCTACACAGCGAAGGCTACGAAGGCTACACAGCAGGAAGGTCTCTGCCCACATTTACTAAGCATGTATTTCAACAAGGCATGGTAAATTCGAAATAATTATTCAAAAACAAACAAAAAATAACAAAAACGAGCTACATGTAAAAACTTGACTAGTCACTAAATAAATCAAATACATAATGAATAAATAGATAAAATATAACGTGGGCTAGATGGGGTGTTGACCTCAACTGCTTTCCCATGTGATAAGCATCCCTTTCATAGCACTCCATTCTACCCATACTGCACTACAACTGAAACTGCACCAGTCTCCACTATTCCCATGCTGCAGAAATATTTCATTTCTGGGTAATTTGTGTCCACTAAAACGCTGAAAATTCAATAATATTGCCTTCCAAAAGAGGAGTCAAGCTAAGACTACATAAAACAGTATGTAAGCAATGGCTTTCATTGTCTGTTCATTAACCACGAGAGTGTAAACAACAGATCTACTGTAGGAGTTACCAAACTTACCTTTCAAGCTGACATTTTGAGAGTATTTTAGTTGAATGATTCTGTCAAAAGCAGCATCTACATCATCCAGACTGAAAACTTCAAAATCTTCATAATTTTGATGAGACTGAAATGAAAAAAATATCATTCTTATGATTTAAAGGCATACGGGACTACAAAATAAGCTTACAGTTGTTACATAAAAATAATACAGTTGAACCTACACTAGGGGGCACCTCTCTACAATGGCCACTAATGAAAAAGTCAAGAATGGTAGCCATCATTGGAGATTTGACAGAATTTGATAGTCTTGTAAGTGATAAAATACACGTACTTGCAAAAATGCCACAAAAACAGCACAATGATAAGAAAGTTTTTTAAAATTGGATTTAATTCCAAACTAAGTACCAAATGCAAAATTCTATCCAGGAGATTTTCTGGCCCATTTGGGAGAGGGGAGATTTGCCCAGTAACCATCACCTGCTGAGCTCAGTTGGGAGAGCACCAATCTGCTGAGTGGGAGGTCGTGGGTTCTAACCCCAGCTGGACCAACACTCAGGGTCTTTAAATGTAATGACATCTGCAAATGGTTAGACTTTCTAGTCTTCTCAAATAAGGACAAAAAACCGTAGGTCCCGTTTCGCAGCACTTTCACTGATCTGTTCTTGTGGAACGTAAAAGAACCCTCACCACTGTTTGAAAAAAGTAGGGGATGCAGACCCTGGTGGTGTGGCCAACCTATACCGGTTAGGGAATTGGGCAGGGATGGCACCTTTCATGGGACCTATGAGTCCCATTTGTGCCATTCCCTCTGGGCAGGCCTTGTCCAGAAAAGCTGATAAAGAAAAAAATCCTTTCAGAGCTTGTCACAACATTTTGGACGTTCTTGACCAGCAAACAACAGTTATAATTCGGGTTGTTTTACAAGGAGGTGCGATCCAACAAGGAGACGGAACAAACGAGGCTGAAGGAACAAGTATCTAGGGGGAAAACTAGGTATCTGAGACTGCATTATATTAAGAATGTTTTGAAAAACATTGATATTTGTCAAACTTTTAGCTCTAAAATTGATTTTTTTGGCCGAGACTACTTAAGTTTATAATTTTCCATCCCTGAAACCACCTAAAAATTGTAAGGTCTGAACATTAAACCAGTCAGAATGGTTGCACTATTCTAGACACAAAAACAAAGTTTAAAACAATGTTGCTCCCTCCAGCTACTGGCTGGAGCAACTGTCATGATAACTGAAAAAGGGGGAATAATAAAAACATCATTGCACTCAAGTCCTTCAGAACCATTCAAAAGTAAGTTGACAGTCTGTTGAGAGTCTTGATTCCTGTGTGAATCGAGAATTGAGAACAAGCTATCGAGAATCGAGTGGATGATTGATAGGGGTGAAAGGGGTTATAGTTGACTGATGCATGCTACACCTACAGGGGTAGGATAGCTTGAACTTCAATATCCTGCAGGTAACACCAACTACAGTGTACATGGGTAGCTGGGTTCAGCATGTCAAACTTTTAATTAGCAGGGAATCCCATACTCACCGTTGAAATACCCGATAACAATTCACATCCAAAACTTTGCTAGCCTGAGAAAACAGACAACATTTTGCGGGAGAATTGAACTCTGAGAAACGAGTGCAGATCTGGGTAGTGCTTCTGATTAGTTGAAGCAATTTTCACAAAAAATTATTATTATTATTATTAAAATTATTAGAAGCACTACCCAGATCTGGGCAGAGATGCATCATGAGTATGGAATTTCTGCGCTTGTTTCTCGAATGTCAATTTGCGGGGAAACGGTTGGTGGCATAGCGAAATGTCGTCTGTTTTCTCAGGACTTTGCACAAAACTATGCAAAACAAACCCTACAGAATTTTGAGCCGCTTTCAAAAATAATAAAGGACATTTTAAAAACCTGCATCTAGGGATCAGAAATCAATGTAAGAAACCACAGGAAATCACTGTATTGCAAAAGACCACATGACCTATGAATCCTCCAAAACAGACTTAACCCGTTGAGGACCAAACGAAGTAGCAAGCGACGTATTAGCAAGTGGCAAATGCCTTGTTGGCATACCAAATCCTCCTTTTAAACTTTATTTAAGACTTTTTGTGGAAAGCTTGTGACTCTTTCATAGTATATAAGAATAATATGCCAGAAATGTAACCATACCTGAAACAAATCATACATGAACATCTGTCCCATCTTATACACAGGAATGGTGGTGTATATTGGACAGTGGAGACCACACTTTCCTACTAAATATGGTAGTGCACCCATGTGATATATATCAGGAAATGTCAGGAGTACTGCATCTATCTGGTGTATGTGTCTGAAGAAAAAACATACTATTGAAAACCACTATCAGCTTATATAACTACTACCAGTTTATAACACTATATTTCAATCCCAGGGATTTGTTAACTGAAAGTCCTGTAACTTTTCTGGACTAAAGCCATAAATTTTAAACTAAAAACAAATGATAAGGAAGATTTTACACATGTCTGATTCTCAGATGGCCTCAGGTCGGTTGCTCAAATTCCCTGTTCTCTGATATCAGTGTACCGGGTTGGGCTCATCTCCAGTGTAATATAATTTATTACTCACAGCTGATGTAAAACGAAGACAATGAAACAGCGATCGCGTTCGGATGCTAGTCAGTCGATTCAATTCCTAAAGCGGGACTTTGTGTGCTGAATCAACCAACTCAATAACTATTAACCGCCACTTTGGAGTTAAGTTACCTTTATACTCATAAAATCAAGGCTATTGAAGCTAAATAATTCTAAATTACGAGCGTTTGTTTACGTTTTAATTTGATTTGACGACCGGGTTCTGCCATAATAAAGTTTTTAAAAACATTCCAACTTAAGTGTCTTAGCACATTTAATTGCTTTTCTAGACATCGAGGATAGAATGTATCAACTTTTGTTGTTGTGTTTTCTTTTTAGGCTACAAGGAACAAGGACTTTTTATAATTCAGATTTAAAGCTTCAGCATATGAATCGTAGGTGAACTGACATATAAGACGTAGGCGAATCAACCCTAGCCATAGGCGAACAGACCGTAGGCGAAACGACCGGATACCCCGGGGATGACCCCCTGTCAACTGTTTCCCTGTTTTAGTTAATAGATATTGTCGACTCACAGCAACTGGAGGAAATGATTAAGTTTTTAGGAAATCAGGAGTAAAACCCATCTTTAAAAATACTAGCCAGATTGAAATTGTTTCATCAGATTTGGGAAAATCGCTTAAGTTGGTGTGGTGGTTGTCAAATCGACCTACATTTGCACTTCAAATTAAAGATGAGGCTATCTTTAATTTCAATACGCAGACCATCGCAGCGTCAAGTTTTACTTAACGTAAATAGCATTTAGTTTGGTCTACTGTTACCTTAACTCGAAATCTGCAAAATAAGAAACCTATCAGGGTATATCTATACAAAATGCATGTGCCCTGACTCAAAACAGCTCAAAACAACATACTTTTTCACCGGCTCAATAACTTCTGGACTGAAAGCCTCGTTCCATCCGCAATCAAGGAGAAACCTAAATTCGTCGACTTGAAGCAAATAACATAGCGGCCCCTCATCATAAGCCCCAGAAAGGACAGTAAGTTTGATTATAGATGTCATCGTGATCTCTCCTTCGTATTTTACAATTCAGCCGCCATCTTCCTTTTCTCCCACAAACCATTGGGGTGCCACGGGGCTCGAGCGGCATCCTGGGTAGAAATTCCCAGGCGTTTGCAGCGTGTTTTGTCCAGCTGATGAGGTGCTATTTTTTTGCCTTGTTGAATTCCCCACAGAAGTTAATGTTATGTGAAGAAAACGAGCAGCTGCTTGAGGTAATGCGAAGAAGAAGTAACCTCAGGGTGAGTTGTGGTTTTCATCGCAGTCGCAGCCGAATACCGGTAAAAAACTTGCAGAATACGGTTCATAGCTGGTCCCGCGCGCGGTGTCAAGCTCATTTTAAATTGCTACTTTGCATGTTCGTTTCATTTCTGTGCTTAATGATAGCGTTTTTCGGCTTATACACGAATGTTTCTATTCTTTTCCAGGAATAGCGTAATATCAATAGAATGAACTCATTTACGACTCGGGTCGAAGTGTCAACACTGGTGAACGTACTTGACCACCAAGACTCTTGAGGTAAGGGAGGACACGTTGCTTTTCTCGCTCGGTGCGGGAATGAAGCTTAAATATTTACCGGCGGTATTTATAGCCTAAAGACTATTGGGGCCGAGGAAATGACTGAAACAAACAAATCATATGGTTAAGAATTTCAACTGAACTCGACCTCGGGATTATCAAGAACAAATCCAGCTATTGGTCAGGGTGGGACATAAACTGAGAGCCTTCAGACTGCAAGTCCAAAGCTCTAACTACTCAATCCCACTTCCTCTTCCTGCTCGCTCCTGCTTTCTTTGTAAATATGTAAATAAAGACTAGAAACTACCTACACCCCCACGTGTTGATCTAATGCTTGTCATCTACATGTACATGTATATTGACCTGCAACCGACAGTAAAGCAGAAAACACGCAACTGATCTTTTTTGTCTGGTAAATTGAAACCCTTAAAGGACTAATGAAAAGCAATGCATTTTTAATAATAATAATCATATTATATTTAATAATATTATATTTAAGAAAAAGCACATCACTTAAGAAAAGTACGCATTAAGCAGAAATGCTGTTTTCAGCTACAGTATTTAAAAATATTGATACTGTTTATTTTCAAAATTATAATTGATATACATTTAACACAACAATAATAATAACTTAATTTCAGTCTTGTGGTTATTTAGTACAGTGTATGCACTCTATTAATGGGAAGACTACAAAGCAAATTAAAGGAAATTAAATCAAATGAATTACTAGGCAAATAAAATGATGGGGAAAACTGGAGTACCCAGAGAAAAACCTCTTGAAGCAGAGTAGAGAACCAACAAACTAAACCCACATATGCCGTTGAGTTCGGGAATCAATCCCCATCCATATGGGTTGAAAGAAAGAGCTCTCACCACTGCACTAACCCTGCCCCCCCCCCTCCCCCAATACTGAGTATAAAATAAAAGACAGAGGATGTACGTAATAGCGCGAAAAAAAGACTCAAACACTAACCTGTGGAACAGTAAGCAGCAAAGACTTGAGCTTGCAGTCTATGATTGTGGAAAGTGGTGCATTTCTCTTGAACAATTCCCTCAACTCCAAGAATAGTTCAATTGCAATTCCGTGGCAATAAATGAAAAAAGAACTTTGTCCCAGGTTTAACACCTTGCTCATTGCTTGTCTTAAAACTTGAAAACCTGGAAAATGGATGGCTTTTGTTTGTACCCAGAGAAAAACCCTTGGAGCATTAAACCCAAACGAAGTTCGGGAATCAAAAATTGGTTGAAGGAAAGAGCTCTCACCACTGCACTAACCCTGAGATATGTATTACAAAATATAAAATATTAGGAAAAGTGAGATATACTGGACGACGAGATATGTATTAGAAAATATAAAATATTAGGAAAAGTGAGATATACTCAATAACTTCTGGATATATAAAATGGTAGGGGCTGATGGTAAAGAATAAAGTATTGGAATCAGAAGAGAAAACAATAATAACATTTTTATTATTGGTTGAGAGCGAAAATGTAGTGCACCAGTTAGCAAAAAGTTGCATACTGGAGAAAAAGAAAAAACAAAATCACAACCTTTGCTTCTAATATATGCAACAACAACAACAACAAGAATGGAAAACTGGTTCAACTGTACTTGGATTGCATTTGAATTAACTTCCAGACTTTTACATCTACATGTATTGCAAAAAGATTTACAGAATTTGCACTTAAAAAGCCACCCACATGAAGTGCTGAATAACCGAAAATAGGTCCTAGACAGTTAAATAGACACTGTTTAATGGATTTCCGGTACAAGATCACCAACATATGCATACTAGGCAAGTTTGAATAAACAGTATCATACCAAACAAAAATTAAACGAAAAACAGAATTAACTATATTAACAACCACAAGAAAAGACAAAACCTACTACAGCGTACACACCTAAATCATAAACTTGGGCTGGTGCATTGCTTGACAGGCTACATTTTGGCACATTCTCACTTTCACATTCACCGGCGAAAAAGGATTGCTGTTGGTGATTAAAAAAGCTTTTCCCTGTGAACCAGGGTGGCATCTTGGTGGATGAAGGCTTGACCCACATAGCCGGCAGATCACATCAACAGGAGTAAACTCCTTTGGCCATCCACCATCCATACCACAAAGAGTGTGGCTATCTGCATTATGGGAAGCACTTATGACACTTAAAGGAGTATGATATGGATAGTGAGTGGCCTGATTGAGTTTTAATGTAGATGTTCTTGCAACAGATGATGTTGGAATGGTACTTGATGTTTCATTGGAGGTGCATGTGGACACTGCTGCGGTTGGCGTTGTTGAACTAGCAATTGCTGGTGAAGGGACTTTCCACAAATCAAGAGAACATGACAATAAATGCACATGCAGGCACACGTGCCGTGTTTTTAGCTGTTTTCCACCACTGAAAATCCAGCAGTGCTTCACGGAACACAACAATGTGTCATTGTGACTCTTGACGTGGACAAATCCAGTTGTGGCAGAGGTATCACGAATACCACAAACCACGTAACTACTTCCTGATACTCGGATAACTTGTGGGACACCAAGCTGTTTTGCATAATCAGCAGCATCTGTCATATTCCTTAATATGTCAGCCCCACCAGGATACTCTGCCAACTTTTCTGAATTTAAGTGGTGTTCTTCCCTTGAGGGCATGATGTCTTTTACCTTTTCCAAATGGGGACAGGAGAATTTATTAAGTTGTTCTTGTCCAGAAGCAACTGCTAATGCATGGAAATTTCGACAAGAATTAAAATAGCAGACCCGACTTGAGCCAACCACTGAGCAAAAACGTCTGTCATCTCTGTTGGTGACGTTAATAATTGAATAAAGTAAATTGTCAGCAAAGGAACTCGGCCCCCATTTGAGAGTAAACAACAGCGAAACAACTCATACAAGAAACAAATGTGTTAATATAGCTCATGCAATGTAGAGCTGTAATATATTTTTGACTTTCCATCATTCATACATCAGATAACGGTGATGAATGAGCCTCCATTTGAAAGTAAACAGTAATGAGACAACTTGTAGAAGAAATGACTGTATGTAGTATTAATATCGCTCGTGCACAGTGTACCGCGGTAATTTTTTTGCTGTGGCTATACTTTCCATCGTTCGTACGTGACACCAGCAGTGAAAAATGAGCCTCTGTTTGAAAGTAAACAATAACTAAATGACTCTGTAGATAATCATACTTAACCATAAATCTTCTTTCATTGTTCCAAAACAAGATCACACACTCACAGCACACGCTTCGATCCAAAAACTAGATCTTATCTATCTTGCAAATCAATACCACAAGGTCTGTCTGTCTGTCAAACTCTGAATCATGTGACATCTATTTTTCCGATTTCTGTGGACTCGTTAGCCTGGTTGTGCATTCCTTGTGACTTGCTATTGTGTGAACGGAACGAGTCTAGAGCTTTTATTAATACTGAAATGATTGTGCAGTGGCGGATCCAGAGGACGGGCCTGGGGCCCGGTCCGCCCCCCTTATTTTTGGACCTGGCCGAAAAATTTTTTGGGAGACTCCTCCCCTTCCCCCCTTACATACATACATACATACATGTTTTATTTATTTGGAGTCTTATACAATAAAATAATAGTATATCAACTATTTTCAAATAACTAAAATTACAAACAACAAAAAATTCCTAACCATATATGGCTAATAAGTTGTTAATTAATTAAGTCCTAGAGTATTAACTTTTTGCTATTAGTTTTTGTATTTTAGCATTTCCACTAGGGGGGTTTATTAGAAACATTGCTTTGTCGCAGTTTTGTTAGAGCTATTCTGTGTTGCGTATTGGTGACCTGATGTAGGTACATGTAATCTTCACATTTGTAATTGTCTATCGTTTTGAATAACTGGTAGGTTCTCATTTTGTTGCTTTGGTTAGCATCTTTTCTGGTGTTGTTATTTATTTCACTTAGCCATCTTTGTAGTTCGATATCCCAAGTCGTTTCCTGATCATGTTTACGATTCCTATGTCCGCATAGTGTGCTTTCATCCAGAGTTCTCCTAATCCTATCTGTTCCAATAAGCTTTTGATTTTTTGCTCCAGAGAGCTTTATTTTCATTCCATTTGATCTCATTGTATGCTATTTGGGATAATTTGTTTTCATTTTTGGTTAAGGTTAACCAGAACTTAAAATTCCTACATTGGGCTTCAATTCTCATTGGGAACCTTCCTCTCTCAGCCCTGCATCCATTGTTATTGCAGTATTTATTAACTCCCAGCAACCACTTTAGGAATTTATTTTGAACTAATTCTGCTGGATCCTTTCCTAATTGTCCATTGCAATCAATCCCCCACAATTCACTCGCAAAAAAGAGTATCAGAGATATCAGTGCATCAAATAACTTCATCGTTCATATTATATTTTCTGTGAAGTGGTTTCCCATCTCTTTTCCTAATTTATAGAGTGCTTTAAGTGCAACTTTCTTCAGAACATTGACTGCAATGTGCTAAATCAACATAATAATT